GACTCATGTCCATACTTTCGCGACAAAACTTTGGCATGTCCAGACTTTCCAGACCAAAACATGGCATTTCCAGACTTTTGCGACCATGATGGCTTTTGCGTTCTAAATTTGGCAGTTTCCCTGGAGCTTAAAAAAAGTAATTTATGTAGGGGCGGATTTAGGGGGGGGGGGTGCAGTGGGGGCGGACGTTTTCCTTCAGGGATTTGACCCCTTGCCAAAAGCAACAAAACAGAAACAAAGTAACTGTATTATAAGCAAGATGATAAACTAATGAAACTTTAAAATACAAAACGCTACAGATGGTTGTATAAAAACAAAATGGTATTCTTCCCATGTAATTTATATTGGCTTCGCTGCGCGACACTAGTTTCAGGGCAGCATGGCCTAACGGATAAGGCATCTGACTTCGAATCAGAAGATTGGGTGTTCGAATCCCTCTGTGGTCGACTTTTTATTATTAAATCTTGCGCGGTTTTTGAGCGTTTTTTTTAGATAAACCGTTCAAAAACCGCTCATTTTGAAGCAAGATTTTGAGCGTAATTGTCTAAAAAAACCGCTCAAACCGCTCAAATCTTGCTTCAAATTAGGTGAAAAATCTCGACTCGGGTGGCGGAATTAGGGGGCAGGGGGTTGCGGATGCCCCTCAACCCCTTTTCAGGGATTAGAGCACCTGCCGACCCAAAAGGTACCCCCTTTGTACAATTTTGAGCGCCTTAGGCACCAAAATAAACTAATTTGAAGGGGGCGAGCGCCGAAAAAACATTTTCCAAAAAAAGCCTAAAAACGCGGTTTTTGGTCTGTTTTTTTTTCTTCACACATTTTCCTGCTGTGCAGGAAATTTATTCATTATAGGATCTTAATGGCGACTTGGGAGAGCTCAGAAATCAATTTGGTCGGCCTAAAATAAAAGGTCGACAAAATTTTCAAATTTTTTTTTGAAAACTAGCCCCCCCCCCTTCCTCGATGATGAAATCCTTGATCCGTCCCTGGAACAATGAAAAGAATTTTGAGGAACCAAAACTTTTTTCATTTTTGACCAGCAAAAATGCAGTGGCCCAAGGTCTAAAAAAATTATTAGCAAATTTTTTCAAAAATTGTAAAACTGTTTCTCAAAAAAGAAGCCAGAACAAAATCACACTCTTTTTCAATGCCAATAATTTCAATTGATCTAATTGATAGGCAATTTATCACTGTTAACAAAAGTCTCAAATTTGGTACTCTATAAATTGAACAAATTGAAAAGCTAACAAGTATAGAAGGTGTGTTCGTTCATAACAAGTATAAAAGAATGTTCGGACCATAGTTACAAAAATACAAGAAAAAATTAGTATTGTTTTTTTTTCTCCGTGGTGTGCAGAAAAGATCAGCTCAAAGAAACAAAAATTAACATTCAAAGTAAATAAAGCTCAAAGAAGCTATTTTAAGTCTGCTCGAAGTTAGAACTAAAAAATTTTATGTCGTTCGAATCACGATTGAAAGGGCCATATTATGATTTATTGCTAGAATAATTCCGATGACTATTTGCAGTACTTGATTTTGCGTGGAAAACAAAAAACACAATTGAATACAATTATCCCCGCATTGTTCAAATGGTCAGAACAACAATTGACTAAACACAACTTTTGTAAGTCAAAAACCTTTTGTAAGGCAAAATGATACTTTTGTATCTTTTGAAAAAAAAACCAAGAAGCATTCATGACTATTTCGTATATATTGTTCATATAAAATCAAAAAAGCAACACTGATATCTAAGTTTAAAGCCATTTAATATTTAAGTTCTCATTGAGTAGAAAAATTTATTGGCGGCAGCGCTCATCTAGCTGAAATTTATACTGTTTTTGCCACTTTTTCAGTTCATTTGATAGTCATTCGTGAGATATGGAATTTCATCAATGTTCAGATTAGTTTCTTTAGCCTTTGTTTTGCCAACTTATAACACTAATCGTCCAGTGGACTTTAAATACACGTTTGTAAGAGAGTCAAAAGTTACTCTTCTGCTTCATTTTTATGAGCATTGCCTAAATTGGTATGGAAAAGCTGAATAAAAAACAAACTTGAAGTGTTTATGTTTATATCAAGAAAAAACGTTTACATTACGTTTTCATGAAAAGAAGTTTTTCGTATCAAGCATAACACGGAAATTTTTATCTATTCTTATAAGTCACGTTCACTTTTAAAAATGTTTAGCTCAACATAAAATTCAAAACTTTCTGCTGCTTTCTTACTGTGATTTGCCTAATTTGTCTCCAAGAGTAATCAATGAGTTGTAGTTTTCTTGCCTCACTTCATTTTGGAAAACTTTGGATGAAAGTGGCTTAAACAAAAACACGTCCCGAGCTTAAAATTTATTTATTGTTTTCAAAAACAAACATGAAAATGGCATGGCTTCAAACAGTTCTTTATTTGATGATTGACAGCTCAGAGATTAATAAAGTTGAAGACAGTTTTTGCACTGGTGAAATTTGCTCTTGAGCAAAATCAAGATGGAACGATAACGAGTACTTTTCACTCGGATCATATCTCAAAAATGACGTACATACGTCGCAACTTTTTTGTTTGGTATACAGCTTGTTTACCACTGATTTTTTGGGAAAGTTTAAAAAATGTAACAGTTTTCTTTTCATTCGAATGATTTTCATGTGAAAATTTAATTAATTTTATATTGCAGTTAGAAACGAATCTATGCCTCTGCTTTTTTCTTAGTTATGTTTCTTTCAGGCAAAAATGAAAGCAAAAAGGGTAAATTATGTCTTAGTACTGACGTATTTATCTTATCATTATAGGTATAACGCCAAACAAATATTTTACATTAACAAAAGCAATGATAATTTTTTCTCGATAATTGCTAAAGCTCTAACTTCCACAATCATTTTCTTTGAAAAAATGCCCACTGGAAAGCACTGACTTAGTTTTATTAGTAGGAAAGCACTTAAACTTATCCACTGTGAAGCACTGACCATTGAACTGTGAAGCACTGACCACCAACTTTATTTTATTTACTTATTGCATTTGAGTTTATGGCTTTATTGTGTTTTTCAATGAGCTAAAACTTTCACGGTACTATTAGTGCATTTGATAGAAGTCATTTTAATTCAAACAAAACTGCTCGTAGACTTAAAGAAAACTGTTTTGCTCCAAAAAATCATTAGGACTCAAAAAACGAATTTCATTTCATTTTTGTCTTTCTTTTATTCCTCATACAAGCTACGTAAAACACAAAGAGATTTTTAAGCGTCTCGTATAGTATTAACATTTGATTGACTTAGCATGGGTTGTTCTAATGATGCAGGGACCAAATGAAGGAAAACTTTGAACCAATCAGAATCTTAAGAGGTTTCTATTGGCTGAACAACTTTCGCACAAAACTAAACTCATTATTAACAGAAAATGAATTATAGCAGCACAAAAAATATTGCTTTGCAATGCGTGCAGATATCTACAAAAAAAACTTGCTAAATTTTTATTTTTTAAAAAGCGATTTTAGGTTTTTTCCAACAAACGAATTCGATTTTGGATAATTTGACAATTTCTGTATCTACTTATTCTTAACTCGGTCAAAACTAATTTTAATGACCTTTGTTTATTCGTTTTCTTTGAGATTTTTGCATTTGCTTTGAGGTTTCTGAATACTCAATTCCCATTGGCTGTAAATGACTGCATATAATTTTCTAACATTTGGTCTTTTCATCATGATGAACGCCACCCTTGTGCGTGTTTTTAGACCGCAACATATCGCGCGTTAGTTATTGAATTGGACAAACCGGCAGTTTTCAAATTTTTCTAATTTAACAAAAAAGATCAGTTGAAAAAGTTTTCAATTTGAACTCAAGACAACAATATCTTTCAGATTTCAAAAAAAAACTTGACAAAACGCTGAATTAAAAATTGAAATTTGGCTGATTAAAAAAATCATTCATAAGTATAAATTTCTTTGTGCTTTCTTTGAAAATCGGAACAAAAATATGATCTTCAACGTAATTTAAATTATTTTTTACGAGCTTAAAAATTCGCTTTTTTTCATTTAATTCTGTTATCAAATTTTTGCAAGAACGCGGCTACCCCGGTTGACTACCATGACCGAAAATGCTAATCATACTTTGTCTATGGAAGAAGCTAGTCATAAAATTTTATACAGTTTTTTCAAAATTGAGGTAATCAAACTACAAACGTTTTTTTTGCTGTTGTTTTGGCATGAATATGGGTGAATTGACTTGAAATAGAAGTTTTTGATATAGTAATGATAATCATATTATACAGTTTCCATGTATGATAAATCCAAAATTTGATTTTTTCAATAAATTGTTTTTAAAATTTAACAAATGTTAGAATGGCCCCAATGCATAATACGTGCGAGATCATCGATGACCCAGCGATCGACCAAAGGGCTTTAAGCAACCAGTCTTTGTCACTTATATTTGGTTTTGAACACAATCGAAAAATAAATAACAAAAAGTAACATTTTTTGGTTTATAGAAAAATTCTTATACAGTTTCCGTATATATAAAAAATATAATCACAGACTAATCATGCAGTTTTCTGTACTTATGGAATTGGAATTGGACTATATTTTTCCATATCTGGAAATTGTATGATTAGCATTTTTGGTCATCCCGGGCATTCGGAACATTCTGCGCATCTTGTGTACACCCATCTTGCCACTCTAATTTTTACCTTAACACATTGATTGTGGGTACCATTCGCTTCAGGAAAAAAAAGAGCTCTGATTTTTTAAGTAATAGTTTCTCCAGGTCTCGGAGTAAATAACATGTGTTATCAATGGCGTCATCATCGCCCGTCATAGTAGCAAACTGATACGCAATTATGCATTTTTTATGACGAGTTACAGCAACGAGTACATGTGGTGGTTCCCGTTTGCTTACAGAACGCGAAAGGAAAAGGATAATTGATATTTTAACTGGTGTCGTGTCGATTTAGATACTGCATTGAAAAAACACCACAAATATATTCTCTTTAGATGCTCTTTCCTTTCATATTTCATATTGGTCGCTTTAATATCGGCGCATCTTTTTAATTCCGTAGATTTCCACAAAAAGTTGAAGTGTGTGGACTGGTATTTCCATTTGAAGGGATGATATTCTAGTTAGAGAAATTGTGCGATTGCATTGGTGACGGCGGATAAAAAGTTAGTTAAAATGTCATCTTGTAATTTAATTTTCCGCAGAAAAAATCCCCTTTTTATTCGCAATTGTGGTTAAACAAATCGCCTCAAGCTTTTGTGTCTCTCTTGTGCCGCAATGGTATTGAGTTCACCCAATTTGTTTTGTTTAAATTTCAAAAAGGATTCAATAGATTATTCACAACAAATGAAAATAGATCTTTCTGGGTGGCTCTGAATTGCTGAAAACGGGAATTTATAGGAAGGTAAACAGAAAGCGAAGCCAAACCAAATACAAAATAATTATATGAAAGTCTGTGGAAATCTAATATTTACTTTGTTCAAACATGGAAAAAATTGTACTAAAATTATAAATCAATTGCAACTATTTAGAGCATAACTAAATTTGAGTTTAAAAAACCGATGATTCAAATGCTTTAAAATCTATATCAATTTGAACTCGTTTGTATAACTTGTTATTTTAGAACAAAGCAACTTGGTTGTCATTTCGGACATATTTATGTTTACAAGTTAAGCTTGACTATAAAAAGTAATGGTCCGTTGGTAATATTTAAGCCACTGGTCCTGTGAATTGTCTAGCCTTTGATTCTTTCTCTTTATTCCAGAAGAGCCGATTACGTGCCGCGGCTCACCTCTTCAAAAGACCCATTTTGGCCTGAAGTTTAAACACGATTTTAACGAATCGATACATCAAATTATGCACTTATTCGATATGCTCGGAGATCATTACACGAATATTAACATCAGCTCTCATGCCGTGACCGGTGGTATAATTATGTGGTCACTTTTAAGTTACAAAAAGGTTGAATTCTTTCAACAATTTTCAATTATTTGCTATTATGATTGAGCTTCGTTATACTTCATATTAACGAGTTTATATCAAACACTTTGAGCAAACGATCAAAAAATATCAAATGTTTGAGTGAAACAAGCAAGAAAACATTATCTTAAGGCGCTGATTACTACAAAAAAATTATTCGGCATACGAATTGCTTAATTTTCTGATATGAAATGCAGCAACCGACGTCTGATAGAAGATTCAAAATGCATTAGCACGATCGCACGAAAGAGGAAACAATATGAATCAAATCAAACTCTTTCTTCCGGTAATTTCTTCGACTCTTGCCATCTAAAAGCTGAGCCAAAACTGGGATCATTCCAAAATGTATGTCGCGCATCAATAACATCTTCATTAAATTTTCTACTTTTGATTATTAACTTTTTGTCAAACTCTTTAATTAGTTTCAGTGCAAAAACTTGCCAAAACTTTTTCAAAAGTTTCTACTTTCAAGCGATGATTATTATCTCAGGAATAATTTGCGCGTCAGATTGTATGTATATGCCAATCTCAAAAAGTGCTGAAACAATCCAAGATTCTGTAAGCTCCAAGGATGCTTTACATGCAAACTTGATCTCTAAGCTCGTGAATTCTTCTAGTTACTTACAAACCTCTGATTCGTCATTTTCAAAATTAGAACCCTTTGAGAACTTGGGCGAATTTCGGGACCAAAGTAGTTCATCACGTGGATTGAAAACTCCAAAGTACCTCAGTAGTTATCTTGGAAAAAGCGATGGCATGACTAATTCGTCTCATTCATTCCAACAGATAGCTGAAGTGATTTTGAGTAATTTGACAAAAAAGGAAAGGGTTCATCAACCCGATACTTATCGGCCCTCGACCACAAAAACAGACAGTCTTTTGACAAAGTACAGCAATTACTTACAACCCACACAACTTCCTGCTTATTCTTATTCCCTCCAAAATAAATCCAAAACGGACCAACAAAGTTACCCCAGCGGAGCTTACACTGGTAGCCAGCGGGCAAAGCTGCGTAAAATCGGAGGTCCTGTATTTGATCAAATCCGGACTACATTTGACAGACAGACGTTAGCTGCTGCCGAAAATTACCAAACGGAAACAGGAATTAACTTTGAGGTTAATCTAGTTGAAAGGCCTTCTAATCAGAAAAATACAAACGCCAAATCAGTTCTTAATTTAAAACATTTGAGACGGGAAGAAAACTACTTAACAGTGGATCAGCAATTGAAAAGAGATCGTTTTCGTCCGGGCTTGATTTTAGAACGAAGTTCAGATTTAGCCAAAAACGGATTTTCGAATTCTATCGGTGATAAACTTTTAGAATCGTTAGCAAAAAAAGGTGCTAATTATACTCAGCAATCAAGTGAGGGTGACAATCAGGGCTATCAGTATCTGGACAACAGTTTCCCGAGTGGTATCAAAGTACATGACCAAAAGTTTCGTCTTCGACTGCGTTTTGCATATTTATTGCTCTCCTTGGGTGAAAAGTGTGAACACAAGGCGGCGTCAAATTTAGGGAAAGAAAGGGGCGATTGCACTTTAGAAAGTGTTGATTTACACCTCTTGCTACTTGCCCATTATTTCCCCATTCCCCTGACTACTAATGCTAATTTGTTCAGGCATAAAAGTACACTGCCAATTTTAGACACAGCCTTCCAAAAGAAGGACTCCGATGCTGTTGGAAAGCGCGCGTCGCATATGATCGAAATTTGCTCACAATTATTACACAGTAGGAATTATTACAACAAACAACCGTCTTCTTCTGCAAACCTGGAATCTGCTGAAAATTTCGCACCAAAATCGTCTGGTGAATACAGAAATTCTGAGCCCTCGGGACCTTGGAAAAGCGACCCAAGCGTGCAAAACATACATTGGGTGAAGAGAGTTAATACATTAAAGACGTCTTCTCAAATTATTAAGGAGGGACTGTTTCTGCAGTCTGACGAAAAAGTGACAGGCGGGGGTTTGAGAGAGAATGTTAATTTGACTCCGTCACAATCTGATTATAATTCATTACAGAGAGTAGAAAGCCACCCAAAAGTGACCCCAGAAGAACCGGAACCCAATTTGGCCGCTGTGGACAAAAAGCTGCATAAAGGTATGTCAAATTGACAATTATATATCAATCCATTCCCATCGCCCAGGCCTTTTCCACCCTAAATCCAACAATCTATTATAATGGTAACAAAAGTAACCAGTTACAGATCGAGTAGCAGAGGATGTTTCCACCACAGTAGTCAGTAGGCTATCAAAAATTTTCAAAAAAAAATTCCACAAAAAATTTGAAGTTTTTTATTCATTACATTTTTCGATTTTTTTGCGACTTTCCTAGATAGAGGGAGAGTTGAACAAATAAATTAATTAAAAGAATACGGTAACTAAAGCTAAAACAATGTAATAAAAAATAAGACCATTTATTCTCTTCCACACTCTAAAAAAGTTACTATCGGTATCCAAGTTGCGACTGAGATGTCTTGAGCCTAATTCATCAGTCGACCCTCTCTTAAGTTTATTTATGGCTTTGAATTGTGTGAAAAAACTCGGCATAGTGTCTCCCAAATCACTTCATCAAAAAGTCGCAACAATAAAACAAGCTTTATGACATATGTGTGAATAATAAATCATTTGTGAGTGAAAAAACTTTTTTATTCCATTGCATATAAATAGCACATTACAATAAGGTACATTTTCTAGGTATATAGGCTAATAATTAAAATAAGTATTAACAAGAATCGCTTAATTGGTTGAAGGTTTCTGGTTACAAGTGAAGTTTTGACAAAATGATTATGTTATTTTTTTTTTCAAAAAACCTATAATTTTGTATACAATGGCGCGTGTGACGTGTTGTTCCTGTTGGCCTTGGCCCAATCCACCTCTGGTTTTCAATTCTGCCCATTCCACCTCTCATTCACGATTACTGAAAAAATGGTTCTGGATCTTAATGACTTTTTAAGGGAGGGGGAGAGATGAGAAGCGTTAAGATGTCCTCTATATTTTGATTTCTTAATCAGTAGTATTATGATTCTGTACCGTAAAAATGTGAAAAATAATTACCTCGCTTTCAAAACCAAAAATGTCTGCTTTGAACTATAGCTCAAAGAATTTGACAGCTTATCAAGAGCTCATTTCCCTCAGAAAGAATTAGCCTTTTTCTCAAGGGATAAGTTTGAACTCCGCTAGAAAAAGAAATCGGTTGCTTTTTTGTTTCCTGTGATATTACAGCCCAATTCGCCTTGAGAACTGAATTAATGGTCATTAACGGTTTTTTAAAGCAATTTCAGAAAAAGAGACATCTTTTCAGTTTCGATTCAAAAGTATTTTATCTCTTTTTTGACATGTATCCCTTGTTTTTTGGCCTTGCTTTTGATGCCACAAATTTTATACTCCTTTATGAATATTCACTCTTTCTTTGGTTCACTGGACCATAGCCGAGGGAGCTTTAAATTTGTAGTTGCATTGCATATTCAATAAAAAAAAACTCGCCATTGTTTTGTGGGGCGCCGTTAAACCTATGCTCGGGAGCGATCGGCCTAGTTGGCGCGGCAATTCAACTGTGAAATAACGTCTACTCAATTGAAATTGCATTTAATTGAAAGAAGCAGGTGATTCAAAGGCACTTCGTTGTTTTGCATTTGATAAATTTGCATCATTGGTTAAAAAAAACTGGCACAAGGCTACTAAACTTGCGACTCTTTAGAACAATTTCTGTTTTGAAATACAAGCTCTAAAAGAGGCTAGGAAATTGGTAGCTGGGAAACTGAAACGACAGGATATTTGCGATTTTATGAGAAAAACGGGAATTTGAGACGAAAAAAACTGATCTAGGTAATCATTATACAAAACTAATTGAAATAAACCTCCAATTCGATGAATCCAAGTGAAAATTTAACAAAATTAACTGGTTGCTGTGTAGTTATCAATGCATGCTCTGTCTATAATTTTTGTGAGAAAAATAAATACAGAGGCGAAGCGGAGCTATTTCGAAAAATCGAAAAAAAAATTGTCGAAAAAAAATGTCGAAAAAAACTAGATCTATCAAAATGAATAAAGCTAGTTTTGGTGGAAAAAAATAACAATCCGAGACAAACGAATGAGAACTCAGCAACTGAAAAAAAACTTACCGAGCGTTAAAAAAGCTGAAAACATTTAAACAGAAATCCATTGAGCAAAAAAAATCAAAAAGATTTGAAACTAATAAAATAGTAGGCAAGTCCGAAAAAAAATATTTTTGAAGATTTAATTTTAGAATTCAAATCACGACTCAAATTATTTCAAGATACCATCAAACTCGAAGCTTTATGAGCTTTCCTCGAGGTGCAAACGAACAAGAAGTAAGCAGAGTTCATTGGCTAATTGCAATTAAAAAAAAAACATAATAATTTCGAACAAGACTAGCCGAGTTCTGAGCGAATGGCTCAGAAAAATCCGACCATAAACAGCCAACCAAAAAATCTCCAAAGCTTTTTTTTTTCAAATCCATAGATTTTTTTTCGGCGGAGAGGGGATGGAAACCCTTGCAGAACAAAACTTTAGTCAAAATAAAATAGAAAACGACAAAAATGAAAAGTACATCACCAAATTTCACACAAAATTTTCTGTCTAAATTCAAAAGCATATTTGCACACCAGAGTTTATCGACACCGAGAAAATTTTTTCAAAAGTTTGATGTATGAAAAAAATCACGACTGAAAGATTTTAAGTAATATATTTATAAATCAAACCTGTGTTTTATTGTAGCGACTTAATCTTGCGACAATAAAAAACATCCGAGAAGTTATTTCTCACGTCGTGTTAGCAAAGATTCTCAAAATTTTATTTTCAGAGAAATCAAACATTTGATAATTTTATCAGATTTTTTGCGCGTCTGCAAAATCAAAAACCGAAAAAACCATCAGCAAAATTGAGAGAATGGTTGCAAAAAAATTATCAGCGATTTTGAATCACCTTAACTATTCGGCTATGAAAATTATCTGACAAACCAGTTATTAGCGAAAACAAAGAGTAGCCAACATGAAATCTAGCAGAACAAATATTTGAAAACGAAATCAAGAAGACCAGGGTGAAAATCAAAAGCTAGTGTCCCAATTTGAAGAGCAAGATACTTATTCCGTAAATCCTATTACTGAACTTTCACAGCCCTTTTAGATGTACTTATCCTGAGTTTAAAAAAGCAACATGGATAGTGAAAACTAATCAAAACAGTCTGCGTACTACTTTTTTTAAAATAAAACAGACGAGAGTTAAAAATTTAACTATAATTAAGCCATGAACTGCTCGCAAGAGCTGTATGGAACATTGCAAACTAGCGACAAAATGATTCCATGCAAACGTTAGCAAACACTAGAGCTACTTGCAGCACAATGCCACAAACACTAAGCCAAAACATTCAAGCGATAAACGTATAGAAAAACGAGTCAGCAAACAGTTACTGCGCTTAACTAACAGATTTTTGCAGATGCTTTCAATTTCTTATTTTACAGCGAACTAATTGTTCCGACAATTTGAAAAAATTGGAGGAACTTTGTATTTAGGTGTTTAAGTTTCTTTGTTTTCCACAAAATCAGGTACCACAAATAATCATAAGAATGGGTCGAGTGATATACCAAATTGAAGCACTTTCAATTGGGACTCGAACGACATAAAAGTCTTATTCAGTTGTCAAAAAGCTTCTTCAGTATTGAAAAAAAAAACTGGTTTAAAACTGGTTTTTAATTCAATTTTAAGCGAATAAAGCGAGCGAGCAGCTTACAACAGCCTATCTATGATAAAGCTAAGTCCTAAAACTTAATTTTCGGAAAAATAAATAATCCTAAAAATAAAGTTAGCTTTTGGAGTTTTTTAACGCCATTTTATGAATCTTTTGAAAAAATGAGACGCTGCTAAGAACAAACAAATACTTTTGAAGTTCTGAAGCCAAAAACAAACACCGGTTTTAATTCCTTAAACTGCGGTAAGAAACTTAAGAAACTCCGGTCAGACAAAAACAAATTTAAAGAAAGAGAAAGTTGAACAAAACCTTAACCAAAAAAACGCAATTTAACTGATACTGCTAAAAAAGACGTATCATTGAGACATTTTATAAAATAAATATCCGTAAACGTATCAATATTATCTGCAAGTGAAATAAAAACAAACAGAACGTTTTTTTTTAATTGACAACGAAAATTCTTAAAAGCTAAAAAGTGTTTTCCTTACAATTTTAGCACATTGAAATTACTTTAATTACAGGAATACAAAAAGTTAATCAGGAAAATTAGCAGACAGCAACTCGAGTTGACAGAGTAAAACAACAAAAGCGTCTAGCAATTTTAAACAAAATTACCAAAAAATTTGAATTGATTCAATTCTGATTTGATAGCACTTCAGGCTTGCTTGGTCTTCATTTATCAAATGAAATGAATACCTCGATAAAAAAGGTAAGAACCCAATAAAAAAAATTCTTTAAATCAACTGTCAAAAAATAGTACAAAAAATGCAAAATTACAGTACAAAAGAGAATTAGAAGTTTGATTTTAACTTTTTCAGAATTTTATATTAGAAATCAATCACTCCCATATAATACCAAAAAAAGATATCGGAAAAAAACTATTCGGAAAATAAGCCGACAAAATTAAAGCCCACCTCTTCCTGCGACAAAATTCTACCCAAAATTTTCCGCACAGAAAAAAAACTCTTAACAAGAAACCAAAGCCCACAGCTAATAAGCAACTACTACTACACACTACACTTGACATGGTGCTATTGAAATTTCGTCCATTCTGTAAACAAAGTTGTTTACGGGAAAAAAAGTCTACTACCCGATTGCAATACCTTTGCTCATCGCAAGAGTAACACAGCGTTGAAGCTGTGCTTCGCAAAAATTTGCGAGTATACGAACAAAAAGCAGCTCTATCAAGTGAAATAAGAAAAAGTAGAAATAAGCCTCGAATTAGAAAAAACTCGGCTACGTGTCGGATTAGAATCTGCGTACTAGCAAATTGGAGTCTCAAGCACTAGCCATGGATACTTAACATCCATCAATGCAGCTACATATGCTAAAAAATTGCCAATTCGGTGCAGCAAAAGTTGCACGAAATACAAAAAAAAACAATTTTGCATGTAATAAATTGGAAAGCATAAAGCCAAATTATGTATAAATTATGCATTTCAAAAAAATTACGAAATCTTTTTGTATTTGGTGCTACTTTTGCTGCATTACATTGGCAATTTATTAGCATGAGTAGCTTCCTTGAGTTGGAAAATTTTTGAAAGCCAGCTTTTTATCATTGCACTGCTGTTTGAAATGTAATTTTTTTTCGGTTCAATTGATGAATTTAAAATGCATCACCTGAGTTAACTTTTTACTAATCAAATGTCAAACCACATATGACATCATACTGCTACCGCAGCCTTCCGATTCAAAAGAGCCACCCAAAGTAGCACTTTTATTTGCGACCTAGGTTGAAAAAAAAGGAAGTTCGTAGAAAATCAATCTAATCGACCTAAAGAAAGTCATTTCAAAAAATATTTTTAAAAAGGTCGACATTTCAAAAGATTATGTCGAAAATCCTTCCGCACGTCACCTTTTATTATTGGAATTTTTCTTTAATGCCGCTGTAGCTGCGGAACCATACAAAAAAAAACCACGTTTAAAAAACTACTATCCGATTTAGACGCTACTAAGTTTATCAACTATGCTTCAGCAGATCATATTTTTTACTGAACTACGGAGAGTTTGCGCGAGGGAGCAAAATTGAGTTAGTTTATACTGTGACTTAATTATATTTCATGCGACTAAAATTTAAATGTTATCCAGTATTTCAGCTTTTAACAATTCCCCAGGAAGATAAATTTCTCGCCTTCTTTCCCATCGGTCAAAAAGCGCGCAAATAATTGCATTTTTGAAAAAAAATACTGTGATCGGAGCTTTCTGTGATATTTGAATAGCAATCCATTATTTTTTATTTACCCTGAATTCACGACGTCGATATGTTTTGCTTATCCATTTGAATGCTATCACAGCCGAAAATAGAGATTTTATACAATTTTTCTCACGCTTAAAACTTATGCCAAGCAGCATGAGTTAGAAAAAAAAATAGATTTCTAATATTACGTAAATATATCTCGATTCCGTCATCTAATATTTCAGCTGTGAACATTTGGGTAGTTGAATTAATTGTGGCTTTCGATTGATAAAGGATCTGAATTTATTCTGCCCTTTTGAACTTGTGCTGTATGAGATTGTTCAAAACTGGTATAAAAATCGCCCGGTCGATGCAGATAATCATATTCCCATCATAATGTTATCTAAATGGTATTTGGAATAGGTGGGTGTGGGCGGGGTTAAAGTTGTTAATATGCGCGAATGAACGGCGAATTGCCATCATTATCACGGCGTGATGTAACCATTTTCTCCAAATTGGTATAATAATTTTTCCAATCGAATGGCACCAAGAGCTATGAACAAAAAAATCAAATTGGAATAGGTAAAACACTGTAAATAGAGATAATAAAAGGCACATATTTATGCCAACGGGTATAATTTAAAAGGAATTTTTAAACCAACTCATATTAGACATTTTCGCATTCATCGAACATGTACAGTTGGCAGAATCCATGAGTCAGAGGGACATAATTAACGATTCATTGAACAAAAAGGCATCCCAATTGAGCCAACTACCAACTTTACCGAGTAAATTGGCACGATAAAATCTATTTTAAAATTTTCTGGAAAACTAGATGCACTTCAACTTAGTGCCTAACAAATATACGGCCCTGGCTCTTTAATTTGCCTGACTAAAAACTGATGAGAAAGATATGTCAATTCCAATTAATAAAGTTGTCCAAACGCTGTCTTTTAGATGCGCCCTAAAACGCGCTCTATAATTGATGATGGTTGCGCAAAAAAGCAATGTAATCAAGTTGTCAATACTGGAAATATTTAGAATATATGCGAAGACGTAATTTAACAACAACAAAAAGGATGAGCAAATTTATCATCGACACCGTATGTCAATTTTTTGCTGCAATATTGATCACAAAATTGTAACCGTGTCGCAAAACTCACGGAACCCTCTGCTTATTATTTCCTTACAAAATAAATACTAATTTTCAGTTACTCTCTTCGGTGGTTCAGCAACAGTTGCAAGACAAAAATTGCTACACAGATTGAAACGAGAGACAGTTACTTCTCCGAGTTTACCAATCGTACGTGGAACACGTTCTTCCAACAGGCCAACAAACACTATTTCACCTACCGAAGGGCTAGTGGAAAGAGGGAGTACTAAGAAGGGGGAGGAGGAGGGGGAGGTGGGGGGATCCTCTAGCACCAGGAAGGTGGCGTCCAGCACCGTGTCCTCCAGTCGCTTTATAATCTTGGCCTTTCTGGGAGTAGTGCTGTTCTTCCTGCTGTTGACTGCTCTCTCCCTCAGATGCTAGTGAGTATATTTATACAGGATGAGATAAACTCAACATTTTCGGATACACCTGAGATCTTCAGACAGGTCAATTTAAAATACAAACAATAAAACATAGCCAACAGGCGGTTGGAAAAGAGTCAATGAACGAAAGAAAACAGAACAAAATACAGATATATTTTGTAAAAAAAAATCGAATTTCAACAAAAAAATAGATGGCCATAAAAGCTCTTTGAATTTTTGGAACAATTTATGATAGACACTTTTTTGATTAAATTAAACCAATTTGACAAAACTGGATCAATAGGTAAAATTTTTATTTTGCTGGGAAATTCGATAAATAAATTCCACCTGCGAAACTAGAAGTCGATCACGTTTATCGTGAACCTTCACACTTTTGCTGTTCGATATTGGAAATTGCCTTAATTCTAACAAAGCAAATGAACTAAACTTAAAAAGACATCAAAAGTCAAACAGCGAAAAAGGAAATTTGAGCCTGAACAAATTTTAAGACTTCTTAAAAAACGATTAAAAAAATCAAAGCGACCTATATAAAAGTCTGAACTACGTTCATCGACTCTTCAAAATGCCATTTGCTAAAAGTAACACAGAATTTTAGACCACAGTTGCTACCGAGCAAAGAAAGAATATTCGACCACAGTTTTTATCAAGCAAATAAAATGTTTTTTTTTCTGATTCCTTTTATTATTTTTTTTCGTTCTGGGCTGGAGGGTCAGTTACTTAACTAAGCATTACAACAGTTATTTATCGCTCAAATAATGTTAAACAGTACAAGGTTAAATGATTTTCTGAACATTTTCTTTATTCAATTCGAATCACGACTGAAAGGGATTTTTTTATGATACATTGCTCAGACCTGAACAACGCTTTTTTTGCACCAAATATAGCGTTTTCTTGAACCTGAATCAAAATTTTTCCGAGTGAGAGTTTAAGAAGAACAAAAAAGGTTGAAGACAATACTCCTTGGAAAATGGTGTAGTACCAGTAATATGATTCTTGCAGTTCCTGTTAGAGTTGACGAAAAACTGATACAGCCATTTTTACGTTTTCTTTAAGAAAATAAATTATTATAACATCAAAACTTTGCCAATTTTTCCTACATAAACTTGAGCGACTTTACTTAAAAATATGACTCTAAATTAGATTAAAGAAGCATATTTAAATAATTCGTACTTAGCCAGGATATTCAGTCCGAGAGACATTTAGAATAAGAATTAATTTATCAAAGTTACAGAGTATATTTTCAAACATTTTTCCAATTAGAACATTTCGGACATGAACAATTCTTTATAAGTTCAAAGTGCGGACGGAACAATCAAAAATATGCTTTGACCTGATACGCTCATATTTTTTTCAAGCCCTTTGCATTTTAAGCTTTTGTTCAAAAAATCACAGATGGATATTATTGAACGCCATTTGGTAATCTAAAATTGTATATACGCTCTCTTACAATTTGTTCAGTCAGCACAAAATCCAAACAAAGTGGCTCGCATTCCAAATTGAGAATGCTGCACACACTCCACTTCAGACACGTCTTCTTCTTCTTCTTCTTAGGAGCAGTTTCCTCCTTCAGTTTTTGAAAGACACATGTCTGCCATTCCGCCGGCTGCCTTGCATATTTAACTAATGAATCGATCAACTTGAAAAGATTTGCAAAAAAATTGAAAGATTTTTTTGTTACTTTGACTGTACCTTACGAATGAATAACAGAATGGTCTACTAAAACTATCTCAACCTACAAACCAGGAAAATCATTTTTTGGTAAATGATAAGATAGTAGCTAGACCTACCAGCGGAATTAGACCCCCTCATGGATTTAGACCCCAAGGAATCAAAATCTCAGGGATTCGACCCCCACCCCAAGGGTCGCCCTCGTACTATTTTAAGATCTCCATTTTTGGCTGACGGACCTTGAATTTTTTCTGAAGGTGCCGATATATACTAAACTTGATGGGGATTTATTGGAAACGTCAATCCTGCCAAGGAAAAGAAAAAATTATACATTAAAAGAGTAATTTTGTCAAGTTTTTCATTGAGTTTTTAAATATGTATATTGCTCAAGTTACTCAATTTATGCATAATCTATTCGTTTCTTGGGTAATATTCAAAAAAAATCTTATACTTCTTTTTACCGATTAGCTAATAAAAATTAATATTTTTCTGTTTTTCTGCTCTTGGACCCATTCCGTTTGTGGCTCCGACTCCGGAAAACAGAATAGGAATCTTTTGTACTATTTTGAGATATCCATTTTTGGTGACGGACCCTAAAAATTTTCTGAAGTGCCTTCGGCGCCAATATATACTAAATTTGAGAGGGGAGCGCGCGCCGAAAAACGCGATTTTTTATCGAAATTTTCCAAAAAGTGCCTTAAACGCCTTTTTTGGCCTGTATTTTTTTCAAAATTTCACCTGCGGCAAAAAAAAAATTTGGTCAAAACAGGGTCTTTATAGTGATTTGTAAGAGCTCGGAAAATCAATTTGGTCGACCTAAAAAGGTCGATAAAATTTCGAAAGTTTTTTGCCCCAAAACCGCAATCTTTAAAAGGCCATAACTTCACGAAAAAAGGTTCACAGGTCAAATATCTTTTCAAATTTAAGCTCAGAACAGCAATACTTTTTGAATGATAAAAAAACAAATTCAGTCAAAAATGGCTAATTACAAAGTCGAAATTTGTCTGAAGAAAAAAACCACCCCGAGCATAAATATTCCGTTAGTTTCGATGCAAAAGTCAGAGCAATAACACCAAAACAATATGATTCCAAATTAGAACAAATTAAACGAATAAAAACTATTAGCAAAATCGAAAAAACTGTATTTTAAAACTTTCTTCTAAAATCAACTGAATTTTCAATTTGATTTAAAATACTCGGCAGGGATTCATTCTCATCAGACCATGTCTGTGCAGCCAATTCGATTTGCTGCCTTAAGCAAGCAACCTACGTTTATACTCGTCTTTAGGACCATGATTTGGAGAATATTCTATATTCTAAACATGATTTGGAAGAAAATTAGCAAAATTAGTACGAGGTTCAAACCGAGGTTACTTAAATTAAGCCAATTTTTGAGGAAAAATTTATCGAAATCTAAGCTATTAAATTTATTTCTTTTGAAAATTGCCCGAGAGGTATAATATGTTTTTCATCTTGTAGATACAATCTTGTCTGATTACTGAAATGCTTATTGTCTAGGTTTTCTAATAATTGATATGTAACCTTTGCAACTACAAACTGAACTTAGCAAGACGTCCAATCAGAGGCGCATCTACGATTTTCTTGCGGGCGGTGCAATCTTTGTGCCGCCTTTTTTTATATCGGCCAAATTGATTTACCGAGTTCTCCCAAATCACTATAAAGACCCTATTTTGAACATTTTTTTGCATCAGACGCGATTTTTGGAAATTCGACAAGAAAAAAAGCGACAAGAAAAAACGACAAAAAAGATCTTTAGAAAAATGTTAGGTCGGTCAGCCGAAAATTGATGTTCTATAATTGTACCAACAGGGAAGGACGTTTTAGGTCGCCAAGCGATTTCATTTATTCAAATTAACGGCTCGTGATTTTTCGGAAGAGTTGAGAAGAGTCATGCAAAAGTCAATAAATCTCGAAATGAAATCAGTGACACTGATGATGAAATTGTCCCAAGATTTATCTTTTCTCCATAAACAAGAAATAGCAGAGGTTTTATGAGGTAGCAGCAAGAATAAAACCAAAAATGATGTATCAGAAATCTTTGGTAAGTTATTTACAGATTTTTGTGAGCTGAGATTTCACAAATTTAACAAGCATAAAAAGCAGACGTCTGTCCGTCTGATAAGCAGATGATTGCCTGTGTCAAAACGCTATCTACAAAAAATGAATTCTGAATTTGTTCAAATATATATCTTTTCGTTTATTTACATTTTAATCTTTCAGTTATGAGAACCGCGGTTTGAGTTTCTATCTTTCCGCATATTCTCTATTTTGTCTTTCATTTTCCCGTGAAGTCTAGCCGAGTTCTGCTGCTGACTTGTCCGAACCGGCGGCGGCGGATCTCTCATATTTTTCCTCGCTTTTCGCTTTACATCCTCCCGATCACACCCGTGGTTCTCGGGACAACGATGTTGCGAGCAAAATTTAGCCTCGCAATAATTACAGACAAACGATAAGTTCACAATACTCGTTTTACACTTTGTCTCATTGCAAACGCTATTTAACTGTTGGAAAGCGTCGCAAAGTTCATCAAAATCATCATCTTCAAGTGCGTCAATTTTTGATTTTGTCTTTTCCTTGAAAGTTTTCTTGCCTGTTGACTTTTTGTTCGGTTGACTCTTTTCTTGTTTCGATTTCTGAACTTTAGCACAATGTAAAACGTGAGTGTCAAAATTCGGTTTGGGTATGTTTTTGAAGCACATTGAACATAAAGTTACGCTCTGGTCAACGCTCATCATTGAGGAGCTAGGAAATGTCGACTCTTCGAGTCTTTCGGTCGACTCTAAATCATCTATTTCATTTTCTAAACTACAAATCCAGCCTGATTTAAGTCCATTGACCTCGTTATCATCAGAAAGTTTGTTTTGATGGCTATTTTCACTTTCCTTCTCAACCGAACTTGTCTGTATTTCATTTTGATTAAGAGTGTCATTTGGTTTATTTGAACCATCAATTAGATTTGATTCATTGACATTTTCACTTGTACCCGAATAAGATTTTATTTCTTCTGCAGCAAAATTACCAATTTCTTTTTCTTGCAAGGATTCAGTGTGATTTTGCTCTACAATTGACATCTTAGACAAAACAATTCGTCTATTAGATCCACTTCCAACACTTTCGTGTTTCAGTCCCATTTTTTCAGCCTCTTCGTGAACAAAAGCTCGAGCAGCGGCAGGTAAGCTTTTGGGAAACTTCATTTCCGTTCTTTGTTTCTTAGAAGCGAACTGCTCAATTTCACTTAGTAGAGCTTTCTTGTCGAAATAAACATCACCATTTTTATCGGTTCTCAAAATTGATTTTGGCTTAGTGCTTTTATTTGAAGAATTCTCGGAAACTTTTAATTTTGGAAGTTTTTGTAATTTTTCTGGTTTCACAAACGACCATTCCATGTCTTCTTTGTCCAGATAATCACCGGCTGTGAAAGCCACGCCGTTTGTTTCAATATACTGAACCAGACCTTTCAAAGTATTATCAATGCTAACCGTTTTCGAATCACATATCACACAAACGTGCCTTTTAGCACGAGTAATTGCAACATTCAAACGTCTAGATTCAGACAAGAACCCAATTTCAAAGTTGGGATTGCTCCTCACAAGTGATAAAACAATTGCTTCTTTCTCACGACCTTGAAACCCGTCGACACTTCTGATTTCAATATTCGCGTACAGGTGTGAAATCCTTGATCTAATGAGCTCAATTTGGAGATTGTACGGTGAAATAACCGCAATTTCACGCTGTGGAATTCCCAGTCTGATTAATGTTTTCACGTGATAAGCGACTAAATCAGCTTCCGCTTCGTTTCCTTTGCTTTCCTCGTGAGTTGATTCAAGTTCAAACATCTCGCAATCATTTGTATCAATTAGCATCATCCCACAGCTAAGCAGAAACTCATTTTCGCCTAGTTTTTCTCTGTCGGAAATGTTCAAATAATTTTCTAAACTACGATTTTCAACTTCCTCATTTCCGAATTTCAGCTTTTCGTCATAAAAAGCTTTCGAAGCCCAATTCATTATAATATCGTTCATTCGGTATTGTATGTCCAGTAGTTTCACCAATGTGGGGTGATTATGAACGATTCTCTCCAACAGTGAAACAGAGAGTCCGCATTTTTCTGCTTCCTGGGACATAACTGTGGGCGGTAATTGCATGTGATCTCCAGCTATTACCAATTTGCTTGCGTTCAAAAGCGGAATCCAGCTTTCCGATTCAATAGATTGACCACATTCATCAATTACGCAAACATCAAACAATAGTTCGCGTTCCTTTTTCTCAAGCAGTCTGAATGTCCCGTCTTCGTGTGCAGATGAGCATGTCGAAAGGACAACATTGGAGCTTTCAAGAAGCTCTTTGATACATTTTTCCTCAATTTTTCTCAAATCTTTCTTCAGCCCGGGTAGTTTCTTGGACGCTTCTCTGAAAGCCAGGTTCGAGTCTCCTTTCGAGTGACCTGAACTGACCTCTTGTTTGGCTTTGAAGATCTCCTGCCTCAAGTCACGAATGACATCACTGAAATCACTTTCTAGAATCTTCGAATCCACAGTGAACATTTTGCTGGTCTCTGAAGCCCTCGCAGGGTGACCAAGTCTGATCATTTTGATTGCAGATTCCTTTTTGAATTTAAAGAGCTGAGATACTAAGTTGTCCACAGCAACATTAGAGGGTGCACAAGCTAGCACTCGGTTGCCTCTTTTGATCTCTTGTAGAATGAATTCAACAACAGTCGTTGTTTTTCCAGTTCCTAATAACAGTCCAAATGAAATGTATTTTACGAGCAGAGTCTAAATCTTATATCAGTTAGCTGCAAAAAGCACACTAGTTGGGCACAGAGGCGAAGCTGAGCATCGCACCACTTGCGATACAAAACAAGAAAGCTGCTAAGTTGAAAAAAAATCAAAAATGTCGATAAAATTAGATCTATCAAAATGAATTATTAAGTCACAATCGCCATAAAATACCAACAGAGGTAACTTCATTTGCTTGTCAACTGCAACAATATGAGTTCAGATAATATAGAACGAAACCTATGAAGCCAAAAAAAAAGAAAAATTTAAAAAGCCGGAAAAAAATCAAGAAATTATGACCCCCTTACCATTAAGTCCTCACCCTCTCAATTATTAAGTCCCCCTCACCATCAAAACACACACGCACATAACAAGTTGCCAAAAAACAATAAAATATGAGGCACTTAAGACGATTTTATATAGGCCGCAACCCATCAAGCGGAACAAAAAAGAAAAAACAAGAAAAAACGAAAAAAAAATTGATGTCATAAAAAACTACAAATTCTATTCAGAGTTTTAGCATTTATGCAATCCAGAGAAGAGCATAATAACATGTTTCCCTCGAAACTACTCAAAAATAGGTCTTTAAGCCAATAAAAAATAAGTAGAAATCATTTGAGCAGAATAAAGCTTTTAAAAGAAAAAATATATACACGAAGTCAAAGTAAGTAAAATTACAAATAGTAGAAAAAATCACATCACTAAAAGCAACAACAAGATAATTTGCGTACAGCAAAAAAAAAACAATTATGCGATGTGGAAACTAAGCAGACAAAACATAAGCAGACAAATAATCAGCGACGATGTTTTGAAACGGAACATTTCCTGTCTTGTCAGATTCGAACCCAAGAACTTTGCCATCCCAGGCGTAATCGTTACCTCCAGACTAAGTGCACCGAAAGCACAAAGAAATATGAATTTTTATGAGCTGGGTCTAAATTAACCATTTTTAATTTTGACCATTCTGTGAACAAGTTATTTACGGGGAAAATTCTAGTAACCGATTGCAATACCCTTATAGTAATTATGCGATCGGCACCGTCAAAAACTTTGAAGAAAAAAACTATGGAATTCAAAATTCTATGATTTTTAGTACTTTTAAAAAGCTTTTAATTCCAAACAGATCAAAATTCTCTATGCGGAAACGCAATGTAAATAATTGACTTAAATAAAGCCTGTAATAAATTATAAAATTTTGGTAGGGCGACAATTCGCAACAGCGACAATTTGTAACAAGCAAAAATTCGTTACAATGTATTGCAAGTAGAAGCCGCTGCTCCTAAATCTGGCACGAGAGGAATAATGTGCGTGAATCAGTGTTTCCCGCGTAATCTACTGTTACGAATTGTCACCTATTACGAATTGTCGCCTGTTATGAATTTTCGCCCCAATTTTTTTTATTGCCGACAAAAAAAAATTGTTTCCATCATATTTAAATAAACTGTCTGCTAGGAAGTTTTTATTTTGATCTGTTGTTACTGAAAAAATGTCAATGCACAAAACGCAGTTAAATCTGCTATTTAATTGCATTATAATAAAACAGCAGTTAGTTTTAAATCAAGTTAATACAGGAGAGAACAATAATTAAATTACCCGGAGGCCCATGGATAACGGCCAAATGCTTTTGCTTCAAACAGAAGTCCACACATTTCTGCTGCGAAGCATTCAAATCAGAATTGAACCATCCCAGACTTACATCTTTGCTATCGAACGAACAAATAGATTCACTATCACCTATTTGCAAACCAGTTATATTTGATTTCCCCTCAGTTTCCGATCCACAATTGGCACTGTTTTCTTCCTCAGCTGGTTTGAACAGTTGAGACAAAAGCGGCCAACTTGCAACGTTGACTCCGCCTTTCAAAATTCCGTTAGCGAGTCGCTTGCCAACTTTGCTGAGTCTTTTGTACGTTACATCTGACGGCGTTTTGGTCACACACAGATCCTTAATGGAGGAAAAGTTAGTAGAGTAGCTATTCATTACAGCAGTTGGCAATGTATCACAAGTTATGGTTAATAAATTCGCTGAGATTTTGGTAATCGTCGCGTTTACACCTGCCGACGTTGCAGAAGTGAATTCGTAATTGTTTGTGTTGTTATTTTTGTTTTCGTCCGACTGGTAAGTACTTTTTAATTGATTTTCTGAACTGAATTTGACAACATCGCCCGATTTTAAAGCCGGGTTTCCCAAAGGACCATGATGTATCTTAGCAAGAGTTACAATATGGCGTCCAAACATACCAATACAGTGTTCAGAAATAACAAGATTGAATAGTCCATAGCCCATCCGCTCGAGTTCTTTGCAGCTGTTTGAGTGGAAAACTTCATTGTATGACTCGATTTCAGAATTGCGCTCCAGCTCGATTAGTCTAAGCTGTTTGTTTGCGAAATCTTCAATCAAATTTTCCATTTTGAGGAGAAACTCTGAAAAGTTAAATGAAACTTATATGTCACTTCAAAGAAAACAGTGAAGTAGTGAGAACATTCATGACATTGAGAAACTAGTGGTAAAATGTTTTTTTTTCAAGAATTGGTTTATTAAGTGTAAGAAAACGCGTTCATCCTCTTTCGATGATTTTTTAATCAGCAGCTATTTCCTCAAAAGAAACGTTTCTTTTAGAATTCGTTTCAATTCAAAGTTTCAACTAATATTTATGATATTTGGATCAATACTTGGAACTACTTTGTACTTGTTAATGAAGCCGTAACAGAGTTTTGATTTTTGTCAGTACGAAGCTGCAAAAACGGAAGAAGGAACGAGAGGCAGAGAAAAAGGCGGCGATTGCATTCGAAGCACTCGGACAGGGAAAAGGCAACACGAGTAGCAGCAGTAAATTAGACTCAACACAGGTAACACTGATTAACTTAAGACAAACTAATCAAGCCATTCAAATCAGAACATTAAGATATGTGTGATCTCTTCATCGGTAGCAGCCCCCTACTCTTTTACTTAAGCCTCCCCCCTTGATATCTAGCAACTATAGGGGCAACGTCTACTCGTAGAAAAAAGATATCTGGCAAAAAGAAGTTACATGAACACTATATTTTCCTTAAAGTTCTGACTGAAATGGTTATAAAACTAACATTTTACAATCAAATCAAGATTGTTTCAAACAAAGATTGTTTCAAAACAAAGATTAGTTTAAAAATACTAGATCAAAGTAATTATCCTCCAGCAACTATATAATTGTTTCGGTAGCCTTTCAAGGAGGGTTTTGTGTTGCAATTGGTATAGGGTCTGTTTTTGAAAAAAAATCTTTTCACGTTCCTATAAGTGTCGAGCCTTGAAGGCCTTCTTAAAAATTTTGATCACTTCAAACTTCAGAGAACTTTTCGCAATAAATTGCACTTTTTGTTCTATGTCGCTATGTCGGCTAAATGACAAGTCTGCTCAAAATTGTTTATCCGTATTTATCATTTTTTAGCCTTTATTAAAAAAGGAACATGTTTCATAGCATGTAGGAACTATATTTAAGGTAGGCAAGTTCAAAGAAAAAGAACACATTTTATGACCTCCATTTTCTACCTACAGATAGTAGTTAAAATGTAACCGACTATGACATCTAAAATTTGCTGCTAAGCCAAACAAGTCATAAGCCAAAAATGGTGAAATAAGTCTTATGACATCAAATATACACTTTTAGTACATTCGTCTCAGCATAAATTTCAAGCTTAAACCAGTTTATCATTAAAAAAACTAATTCCACATTTACCATAGTAAGTACTAAAAGCGGATTACAATGATTGCTTTTTATTTATGCAAGCAGACCAACTCACGTAATTGACTTTTGAAGCTGAAAAATGAGCCCACATTATTTGACTTAAATCAATATTACCCTGAAAGGTCAATTTCCCAATTAATTTGTTCGCCTCACTTTCTAATAAAAAAGAACCTGAGATTTAGGACTAAATAATAAGCAAATAGTCGCAATATAAAACAATATCGATAAAAAACAACAAAATAAACCAACGAGGGACTCTTTTTTTTCAACCACTATTTTCCTTTTGTGCCAGGAAGTAGAGACTATTTGACAATTTTACGGATTGCGAGAAGTTGACAATTTACAATCAATCTTTTTTGACCTGACAAAAAGGTACTTTGATGAACTTATGTCCATTTATTTACCTCTGACGAGCTACTCAATCAACGTCTGTTTCAGAGGCTGAACAACTTCTCAGCTGGGTCCAAACTTGAGGCAACTACAGATTCGATGGAGTGAGTTCATTTTCACTTTTCTTTATTTGTGGATTAGGCAGGCAGATTTCTATCCGATTTTGCCTATGTAATGGGAACCATCATCATAACCATCGCAAATGGAATCATCATCATAGACATCGCAAATGGAATCATCATCATAGACATCGCAAATATATCATATAGCTGACCAGAACAAAAGATTAATAATTTCTAAGATCTTTTGGTTTTCATACAAAATAGATACTATCGCAGCGCATAAGTCCAAAAAAAATTTAAAAATATACTTTACGGTTTTTTCTACGGTTTTTTTCCATCAATTTTTGATATTTTGATTGCGTTTACGCATTACTTCAGTTCGCCAGTGTCGTTTCCTGGCAAAAAAAAACAAATGGCTATTTTAAAAAAATAATAACAAAATAGGCCACAAAAACATAAAAATAGACATGATATTATAGAGTATTTTAATATTTAAACACATCTTCCGCATTTTCATTGCATGCTCCTGGAGAAACTTACTCAAATCAGTATTTTTGTAATGTCAGTTACGTAAAATGGTATAAAATATTAAACCTGTCTGGGATAAAAAAGACTCGCACGATTTCAAATTTGGAGCAAGGAAAAACGAACTAATTACTATTTATGGGTGACTTCCCGGTTTTGGGGAATGTACTTCCCAATTTACTAAAGCGTATTCTCTAGTAAAATGGGGAGTAGATATTTTACCGACAAAATTTTTTTATGGTACGAATCGATGTTTCTCTTCACGAACAAAAGTAGCGAATACGACACTTGTTTTCTAGCTATTATGTCTGAGAAAAATACACCACTCTAAATCTAAATAATTTATTGCTTTGAACAAAGACCACCTTGAAATGACCAATTTAAAGACCCAGCATGTAGTTCTGTTACCCAATATGCAGTAGTAGCAGGGTTGAACAGAAATACCTGTAAATTACTTTCCCTAAGTTAAAGAAGTTAAAGAAATTATTTTTCAGGAAAACTTCGCTGTTGCGACAGCATTCAGTAGACCACTCCCTTCTGTACAATGTGCAGAACTACAACAACTCATCGTCTCCATCCGCCCTTCAGCAGCAGAGAAGGGAGAGCAACTACCCTGGACAGCAAAGTTCATATGCAACACCAGGTCAGTTGGGAACTTCGCTCATATCCGACACCCCCCCCCCACCCACCTGGAAAGGTTTCTACAGGAAAGGTTATTTAAGGCAATAGTAAACGTTAACGTTTTTTATTTAAAATAAAAACAAGATTTCGTTCGAGCGGAGGAAATTATCATGGCACAAGGACCGAATGGCAGAAAACTTCGAACCAGTCAAAAAACTTAGCATTTTCCAAAACTCAGAATTAACTATCAGGCTTTTTACAGATCTTTGAATACTGGATTATGATTGGTTGATGTTGTTTTTTGAGAGTGTACCTTTACGCCACGAGGGATTAACCCGTTTTTGTTCCAAATCTTGAATATGAGAATGGTATTAAAATCAAAATTTCTCTCCGATTTCAAATTTGGAGCTAGGAAAAACGAACTAATTACCGTTTATGGGTGACTTCCCGGTTTTGAGGAATGTATATACAGGATCGTTTGCAACATCATATAAACGTCCGTTTAACCATAATATATATATTTTTTCTGGTATTATTGATGTCAAATAAAGCTCGTGGAGATTTCTTCCTTTCATTCAGTAGTAAGAGCCAACTTAGATGAAAAATGACATTTTTAGCTAAGTAAAGCGCTATCAAAAACGTACCTGATTTCATTTAAAAAAATTTTTGTAATCGCTAATTTTTTTAAAATATAATTCTTAAATAAATGATAGCGCAAATCTTTTGCGATCGAAAAAAAATAAAATCCACGCAACTTTCTGTCAAAGGATTTTCTGCATTATCAATAAACCGTGAAAATTACTCCTAATTTTTCTATTATTTCAGGAGGTGGGTACTATGCCCAGCAGGGGAGCCACCAATTGATGAGTCATCAGCAGAAGGCGCCGTCGAATGACAATGTGCTTCAGGTGGACGTGGAGCACTCGAAGAGACAATTTCCACACAAGACGGGATCTATCAGTCTAGAGGTGGGTCGCGTGTCACTTGAAATTTGTTTTACTTGATACAATATGCTTCAGCTAGGATATACTACTGGGTTTCTACCAGGAACCAATGAAATCGCTTCTCGAAGAGTGCTTACAGTTTCTCGATACTAAAAGCACTATGTTCGCTTTTAGCGGTTGCCAAACATGCGCCTAAAAATAACTACGATGTACAACAGGGACAATTGTTACAGCAATATAAATTGGTTTAAAAGAGTTAGACTGATTTGATTTCAGAATTCGGGAAAGAATCCCAGCCAACTAGAACTGTTCCGAAGAGCATCTCTACTGTCGCAGTCAAGTAGGCGAAGGGGGAGCTACATGTTCGTGCACAAAGACTCCCTCAGTTCATTAAATATGCTCGGAGTAAACGCGAACAACAACATTCCTTCGTCGAACTCATTCTCATTGAACCCACTGAACTACTCGAACTCAACTTGCAACGCCAAATCCAGCACCGCCTTGAATTCCTCACTCAACAGTGGAACTCAACTAACGACTACAGTATTCAGTAATGCGTCTCCTATTCCGACCGAAACACAGGTGAACGTTGGATTCCAGGCACGGGTTACGAACTCCAGTCCAATGCCTAACAGTTCGTACCCCTATTCGTCCAATAAATATCCTCCTGTAGCCAGTTCGGCCGGTTTCGAAATGGGTAAATCAAATACTCCTATAGCTATGAGCTCGCTAACAGCGCCAACTATTTTTGAAATCAGTTGTTCGAATCCAGATTTAACAGATGAAAATAACACTGCCACTCAGCCTACATTGCTGTACCAGCCTCATCGAAAAAGCGATTCCAGCTCAATTGACAATACTCAGAGGTCTCAGACCAACGAGGTCGCCACATCTTTAGGCATACCGAATGCTCCATTCATGTCCAAATCGCCTTTGAAGAGGTCAAGGTCAGCTTGTAAACACCATCCTCATAGGTCGAGGGGAGACTTTTCCTCTCGAAGAAGTTCAGGCAATGTTGGAATTGGCATCAACGATTACACCTCTCGGCGGAATTCCGGCAGCTCCTGGAAGGATGAGCGAATGTGTTTAACTCCCACACAGCAAAGACACCTTCGAAACTCTTACGCGGCCAATTTTTACTCTTCAAACTGTCTGATTAATAGTCACAACAGCAGCATATTATCAATGAATCAACACTTGTTTACAGCTGAAAAGCGAAATCCAAAACGGTATAAAATCAGAAGCGGCAATTGTGTTTGTCAAACTTGTATCCGATTTATAAAATTCGAGCACAATTCTAGTCAGCAGAATGACCTCCTAAATAAAATCACTGCAGTTCCTTACATGCTATACAGATTGCACTCACCCCAATCGCACAACTACAACTCTTTGAAGCCGATTAACTTGGCTGGCGTTCTCAATGACATCATGACAGATTGTTCTAGAATGTTCGGCAGCTACAGTAGTACTGCAAGTGCCTTCTATCCTCACAGAACAAGAATGAGTAGAAGAAACTCGAGCAAAAGAATCACCAGAAGTCAGTTGCGCCAACTCGCTTCATTAACTATGTCTTCCATTTGAATTAATTTTCCATCCGCTCAAACAGTAATTTGTTACTCACAAATTGGTCATATCGCTCAATTCCAATTCAACTATTTCCACATTATTTTTTTGCTTTGAAGTTGTATGTTGATGTCGATACTCTTTCAACACAGACGCGAAGCTGCAATTCGAGAAAACAAACAAAAAAACAGCAAAAAAAATTAAAAACAGCAGGAAAGTAGAGTTAAAATGCCTAGAATAATCAGCTTGACGAAAAAAGTGATGAAAAATATAATTAAGTCTAGTAAGCAAAATTGGGACTAATAAGCTGACCTTGATTATATTGGGATTATGATTATTTGATCGCATTTGAATGTGGATCAATTCACCGCGCTCAAAAAAGTCGCTCTTACGCTTTGAAGATGCTAGTGCGTGAAAAGCGGGCTCGCTTAATTCCAGTAAATTGACAAACTGCCAACTTTTAAATGTCCAAATTCTCAAAAAAAAACAGGCTCTACATTTCTTCACATTTGAGCCCAGGGTGTGGAGATTTTCATTAAGTATAAATAATGTTCGAAACTATAATTCCGATTCATTTTGAAGAAAAGTATAATATAATGCTTGCCATACGATTACCATAGAAAATTATATAAGCAATTTTTCAATTGACTTTACTTATAAAAACTATCTTAAAAGTGGTTGAACATTTTATTCTAACAAATAAAAAAATTTTATCAAAAGAAGCTTGTCAAACAAATTTCATATCTGAAAACTGTATGATATGCATTTTTGTATAGAAAAAAAAACACAGAAAACTGAGGTACAGTTTTTTTGCTTGCATGCAAAATCATTGCATGCAACATTTGATATTTTTGTTCCGACTTTCGATACGAAAGTAACGGAATATTTGTGCTCGGGGTGGGTTTTTTTTTCTTCAGACAAATTTCGACTTTTTAACTAGCCATTTTTGACGGAATTTTTTTATATCATTCAAAAGGTATTGTTGTCCTGAGCTTAAATTTGAAAAGATATTTCACCTGTGATCATTTTTCGTAAAGTTATGAGGGTTTAAAGATTGCCATTTTGACCAATTTGGGACAATTAACGCGCAATATAATTCGCGCTATTAACGCGTAAGCGAGATTTAATCCGTCTTATAAATCGTTCCAAATTGGTTGAACGAAGCTTATTTGCCATAATTGACTTGTTATAAGGAACGAAATCTATCTTTTTGTACTTTATATGGCGTGTGGGGGGATGATTTTCATAAAAATTTTCAAATTTAAAAAAAAAATTTCATTTAATTTTATTTCATTTTTTTTTATGTAATACTGCTGCTCAATAAACCTTAAAAGGCAGTCGGAACATTCAGGGCTTCGCCCTGATACGAGCAGTCTTGTTGTTTATAGCGTAGTCCAAGCTGCTTTTGCACAAAAAAAATCCACGAAAGTGTTTGTATAAACACAATTAGAAGAAGCTTTTTAGAAATTTATAAAAATTACGTTTTTTGTACATAATTTGTGTGAATGCCAAAGTATCTATTTTAAGGAAACTTACCACACGCAGTTAATGTCTGGGGTAACTCCAACTTACACTCCGCGTTTTCTTATTATGGAAACTCCTCGGTTATTGTGTTATAAGACAAATTACAAACTTTCAAGATGGATTTTTTAATTTTCAATTATGCAAAACATGCCTATCATACAATTTCATTTTGGAGATAAGCATTTATCATACAGCATTGTAGTAAAAAAAGCATATGCGGAAAAAAGCAAGAGCGTGGAAAAATATGCTGATTATTAGATTTCAATGTATGGAAAAAATAAAACTTTCGACTTGGGCTGAGAAAAAATTGAGTGACCCTGAAACACAGCGCTCACATCTCGGTTGTGCTAATAAAACAACAAGTTGAATTGTATCGTGCAAAGATGCAAGAACTTAAATGGCTTTATGAAAAAATCAACACTTAATGAAAGAAAAAACTTAGCTGTTGATGACAGAAAAAATCTGCGATCAAATTGTTTGTAGAAAAGTACTTCTTAAAGGTCTCATTATCGAAAACGCATACAGCCAACAGACAGGGTGAAGGAACATATGCAAACAAATTATACGCGTTTGGTAAATTATATCCTCGGATATGCAAACAAATTATACGCGTTTGGTAAAATATATCCTCGGTTATTGTGTTATCAGACAAAATACTAATGTTCAAATCGAAATGTTTTTAAATTTCGCTTATGGAAAACATGCTTATCATTCAGCTTCATATTATGGAAAAAATTTTTCATCAAACATCCTTACAAGAATAAAAATGAATATGCGTTTTTCAAACAAACTTAGTAATAAAAATTCTGTCAAAAAGCTTGTCATTTACTTCCAGAGTGTGGAAAAATATGCTAATTATTACATTTCATTGTATGGAAAAATGCGTGTCATTCTATTTTTATACTGAATTTTTCCGATAAAATTGTATAAAATTGTATAGCAAATATTTTCTCAAAGTATCACAAGAATTTTTTTGTAAAAGCAGGTAGGCGCATTTGCAAAGCTGAAATAAAAAGGGGCCATATTTGCTGGAAGCAAACTATGTTAAGCACAACCGAAAATAAACCTTGTTCTGCTGAAATAAATTAATCATTTCAATTATGCCAGTTCATATGCAGCCCTGAAAACAATGAATACTTGTTCAGCTGAGGATGACCTATACAAGTGTTTTCACCTCGCTTAATGAACTTTAACATTAAGACGAAGATTTTTGCGATTACGTTTATTCATTAATGATTTAAACTTTTTCATCTGGCTTCGCTGACAATTTAATAATTACGCCCAATATTCAGTTTTGTAAAAAAAATGCGTCTTATATTTATCTCACAGGCGGCGTCTTATTGTCTAATTTCTTGTTTTCCAGCTGAACTGTTTATTTTGCTGAAGGTCTATTATCATATCCACCTTTGAAACTATCCACACCATCATTTTCACTATTGTTACCGGAAAGTGCGCTTTGAACTCAGCGGGCCAAAATTATGTGCAAATAAGAAATCAATAATCAAACCAACTAAATATAAAAATGAGCCTGAAAAAAGCTCATTTGATCACTTATCAGCTATTCGCTTGATACTCTATGTTAGATGTTTCTGTTGTTGCTATTTCAAACCAAACAATTGAACGAAATTAGTTGCTTACATCGGTAAATTAAAGCTGTCAAAAATCATCATCGTCAATTCCTTCATATTGCATTGCGCCTCTAATAAAAAGTTGCATTATAATATATATCACTCTCGTCTTTTTTGATTGTATTTCTCAGTTCAACGAAGGATACCTTGCTGACAAAAATTTTTCATTAATCGCTTGAAGTTAATGTATAATTCAATGCACAAAGTTAAAGGACACATTCGACCCGCAATTCATTGCATTGATAATTCATATACTATTCTCACCTTTGACCTCTGCACAGTCCCCGCTTTCCCAAAAAAATGATAAAAAACGAAGAAATAGTACCAAAAAACTGGAATTTCATTGGCTTAGTTCTTCATTTTTTCATGCATAGATGAGACTGAAAGCAAGATCACTCAAAAACAAGCGAGCAAGGCATTATCAATACATCGATCCGTAGATACACTAGGGACAAAAATTGCAAGAAAAATGTAAAAACAAACTTTCGAATCCATAAACTGCAATGAAATTGATGATTGATACTGATTTGGTTCTTTGTAAACTTCAAAAATAAACTACTTGAGGAAACCGATGCCATTTTTCTCGTTATTTCCACTGTTGGTTTTTGTCACATTTTGAATAGCAATGTCACATTTTGAAAAGCAACTTTTTTCGTTTTCATCTGCGCATTACTCAAAGCTTTCAATTGTACTTCTAAAAGGACAGTCTGAAAAGAACGCTTTCCGCAGTATGTCAAACTATTGAAAAACAAAACTATTTTATTGGTTTTTATTCGATTTTTTGTTAAAAGCTTCGTATTCGTTCCAGCTGGCGGTTTCAACGAAATATGCGGACAAAAAGCTACGATGTTGATTCCTTAACTAAAAAACAACAAATGACTGGATCAACGATCGTTGAAAAAAGCTTTTAGATACCAGAAAAAAGAATATAAAAATCATGTACATTGCTGCATATTTCGTAAAAAGACGGGATTTCCAATGAGTAAAGATATCAGCACAAAGGCTAAGAGAAAATTCGAACAACTCACGTTACAACACAAACTTAGTATGGCAAACTAGCCGACAAAATATGAGACGGAAGCACTTAAGTTAAAAAATGCGAACAACTGATCTACGAACATTTTCATGTGTTTCTCTCTACTTGCCTTGAACGAAAACGCCAAGCCTATTGAACGTGAAGCTAGCATCTTAAGAAAACTTAAAAACCGCTAGCAAAACTGACAATACATCAACAGACACCCGCTGAGCCGAAACAAAAATTTTTCACGTTCCACATGAGCGCCAGAGAAATTTTTTTCGTTAATCAAAAGATGGAATCTAAATAAGGCCACTAAACCCATATAACACAAGCCGGAACCTTTTATGCTGAAAAGAAATAAAATTTTAATCAAATGGAATTCGTAAATTAACCATTTATATCAAAAGCGAACCTTCAATAGAACGGGTATTTAATGCATACATGCTCGAAATATGTCTGTTGGCTGACGAGAGTACAGATAGAGTTATGATGGCTAATTCCACCAAAATCAAACTAAGCAAAGTTATTTAAGGGATAAATGCTAGTACCCGAGTGCAATACCCTTGATAATCATGAAGTTAATAATCTGATATTTTAAAGTTACAAACAACATAAAACACAAAATTTATTACAGAGGCAAAGCTAAACTCAAAAGAGAAAGCTGCAAAAAATAGCTCTAAGGAGAGAAACAAAGCAAAATAAGGAAATAAAAAAGCATAAATAAACCTAGCAAAACAAAAGTTTTGTTATGTGCTAAAACCTCCGACCTGTAGATAGACGTCTCACAGCCTTACACCAGCGCAACGATCGCTTAAAAAATTACTATCACTAGCTGCAAATAAAGCAATTAGAGTAGCTAGTAAATTGCCAATGCTATGCATCAAAAACGCCACCAAATAAAAATGAAACCATTTCAGTATGCCGGAATTCAACCTCCGACCTGTAGATAAGAGTCTCACGTCCCCTTATCTGGACCAGAGTCGCTTGGTAATAAACTAGTCCAAGCCACCAATAAAGCAGCTACAGATGCTTTTAAATTTCCAATGCTTGACAATATAAAGTGCCACCAAATGAGCACCGTTTCTTGCGGTTAGCTTGGAAAAACTTATTTCGTAGTATTACACGACACTCCACTTGTTAAAATAGATTGGGTATCTATAATGCAGCCAGGCTCAACGAATTTCTGTTAGTTGACCAAATAACAGAGCTGAGGAAAGAGTTGAATAAATGATTCAGTGATTTCTATTAAAAAGTTTCCTACATGAACAACGTCTACGTTCGATAACGATTGGTGACCGCAATTGAAAGCAAAAACGTATTAAAAAAAAACAAATTGCAGTAGAAATAGATAAGAATTTCTATATCTTTCTTAAAATCTTTCTCGTAATTAAGTCGGAAAATTGCAGATGTTAATCTGTTGTTGTTATGTGCAGGTTGGTTGTTGTTGCAGGACGATTGGTTGTTCTTACAGGACTCTGAGGTCTGCCGCGTCTCAGGGGGTGGCCTTCCACTCAATTTCCTATGAGGCGCAGTGAAGAAGGAGGTGCTCTATATCTTCTTCTTTGCGGTATGGGAAGTTCGAGTCATCCACTTATCCGTGTCTGTGTTTGTAGCTTGAAGGAAAGCGCCAAAGTGATCCTCAGCTTCTGCTGTTTGGTGGTAGAGGATGCTCTCCTGTTGCTCTGCGGCGTAAAAGGCTCGCCGGGATTGTAGCCTTCTAGGCGGCGATCTTCTTTGTCCATGTTCAGGCTTCTCTAACTTCTGTTAGAGGCTAGACGTCTCGGAACTGTCGACCTCCTGTCGTTTCCTTTGTTCCCTTCTTTTGCCTTGAGAATTTGAAGTGGTCCTGCTTTGGTCAGAATGTGGAGGGGGTGTATTTCCGGAAACTGGCTATATCAGACCAGCAGTTTTGCTGCATAGTCATCAATCTCCTGTTTAATTGTCGTAAGTTCTACTTCAGCCCTGGTTGGAGCGTCCGTGGAGTCCTTTGGTGCTCCAGTGATGCTCTGTGCCGCTATCTTGTTGCATGTCTCGAGGTTCGCTATGTTGTTGTCTGCTGCGAACGGGCGCCACACTTCCGCTGCATACAACCAGAGTAGGCTTTGTAAAGTCTTTTGGAGTCAGTGGCATTCATGCTCCAGTCTTTACTGGCCAGAGCTTGGTGAATTTGGTTACGTTTCGGAAGCTTCTTGCAGGCCTTCTGTGTGTGGTAGCTAAACCTCAGCTGAGATTCGATCCTAACTCCTAAGATGGTGACTTAATTCTTGTAGTCAATAGACCGTTCCAGCAAGCTGATCGGTGGTTGAGACTTGCCCATAGTTTTGCGTGGATCCAGCAAGACAACTACGGCTTTAGTTTTCTCAACTGAGAGTATGACATGGTTAATCTCGACATAGACATTTTTAGCCTTTAAAAAATAGCCTACTAACTTTTATTTCGGTGAAAAATTCGATAAATTAATTCCACTTTCGAAAGAAGAAGTCGATCACGTTTTTCATGAACTTTACACTTTCGCTGTTCGATAATGGAGTTTGCCTTCGTTTTAACAAAGGAAATGACCTTAACTTAGAAAGAAAAGAAAAATCAAACCGCGAAAAAAGTAAATTTGAACCTGAACTAATGTTTCCTGACAAAAATCGAAAAAAGAAAATCATCGCGACCTATATAAAAGTCTGAACTACATTCATCGGCTCTTAAACGAATCACAACTAATAAGGCATTAAAATGATACCACTTTTGACCTATCTGAGCTTCATTTGATACACTACAATTGTCCGAAACTACGCCACAGTTCATTCTAGTCACTCCATGATCGACATAAAATGAGCGTGAAAAAGTTTTGAGAAAAACCACTGAGCCAAAAATTTGCTTATTCAGTTCTTTCAACAACACTTAAAACCTTGTTTTGTACTATTAACAGAAGCTTTGCTTGTAACGCACTATTCTTTTTCAAGTAATTTTCACAAGAAAACGTAAGGTTCAAAATTTAGTATTCCAAATCTCAATTCAAATAAGCAAGTTTATATCGGAAACGAATTGTAACGACTCCAACTGGTGAAAAACATAAGCTCTGTTTTCTTGAATGTAATTGTTTCAAAACTACACGTCATACAACACAAATGTCACGCACAAATTTCAAAAATTCAAATATTGCACTATATCGATTATCGAACCAAAAATGGCAAAACTGCCCAAGAAAGGTGAAAAAGGATTAGTTATAGAAAGTTTAGAAGGCAAAATTGTACGTTGCCAAAGGTCTGAATAGACTCGACATATTAACAGCTGAGAATGCACTTTGCTTCAACATTGCGTCGACTTGCTCTTTTAGCACCATGTACAGTGCTTTGCTTTGAGCCCCATTTCTCATCGCCAGATTAGCCTTCAGTTTATTGTCTTCTGGCATATTCATTAGAGCCCTGGCTGGATCGAAGACATACGAGAGATACGTCAGTTGATTGTACAAATCAGCTTCTGAAACCCGTCGAGACAGGGCGTGTTTCTTACATTGAGGGCACAGCGGGTGTCGACCTACGAATTTAAATGGGATACTTCTCGTTTTGAAATCACAATCCTCGCAGTAGTACATATTCGCGTAGTACTCGTTCACAAACGAGCGAAGCTGCAGAAGAAGAGCATTTGTGATTGGTCCACGAGACTCGAAAAGGTGATATTTGCACTTTTCGCACTCGAACAAAGCCAGATTTCCTGAAGTTTCGTTGAAGGCGTTCGACACACACGAAGGCGTTTTGCACTTCGGACACTTGAATTTGAAAGGCACGCAGTGTTGAAAACGAGTCTGCAGATCAGGTTCATCCAACTCGGTGATTTGCGTTTGCTCTTTCACGGCATATTGGGCTGGATCCAAGCCTAACAACAAGACCAAATATTTACTATCTGAATATGAATGGTGTTGGCGACTGGAGATATACTTAAATCGGAGTGTAAAAAATATTTGACACATGTTTGCGCAAAAAAATTCAAAAAAGAGTTATAACACAGAGGCCAAGCTGCGCTTTACAAACAAGCGAGGAAAAGGCAAAAAAGAGCTCTAAAAGTCTATTCATACAAAGTGAAATAAAGAGAAGATAAATATACACAATGAAAAAAAATTGCTGAGACAAAGAGTATCACGTCCTCCACGACCGATGGTAATTTTACAAAAACTAGCCACCAATAACATAGCTAGCAACAGACAGTTGCGAAAGATTCAATGAACCCACCCAAGTGAACAGAAAAAAAAAACTGACTGAATGTGGCTCAAAAACACTGACTTGTAGGTTTCAAGAATAATAGTTTTCAAGAACAGTATGTTTTCAAGAACAGAAAATAGTGAAAATATTTCTAATAAACAGAAAACTTTTCAAAAATTGGATTTATCCGAAGTCCATACCGACTTTTCTACAAAACAGATAGGGTGAAACGGTTTATGTAGGCAAATCTAAACACTGTCTTAATTTGAATGAACCATCAACCATCAGCCTCAGAACCACCAGGTTAGTTTTTAAGAAAGAAATTTCCAAAAAACGCGCAAAATTTCAAAAATTAATATAACTTCTTTCAAAACGTAAGCCATAGCCACTTCCACAGAGAAATGCGCAGAAATGGTGTTTTATCTTTCGATTAAGAACTTATCTTAGATTTGGCAAGATAGTTCAGAAAAATGAAGTTTCCAAAAAACAATCAAAATTAAAAAAAAAACGGACATTTTCTTAAGTCATAACTTTCTTGGATGAAAGTACGGGCGTAGCCATATCTGCAAGGAAAATTTCGACTGGTTGCTGTTGCGATTGAACCCTTAACCTCGGATTTGGCAAGAAAGAATAAGTCAAAAAGTTGAACCCCCTAATTTCAGATTTGTGGTAATATTTGAGATTATGAAAAAAAAAATCAAAACAAATAGTTCAAAAATCCCCCTATTGCAACTTTCGAAGGCCGTAGAACATTGGTTAAAATGGAATGAGACTAGCCAAAACACGCTGGTACACAAAAGGTTAGTATATTTTCCCATTGATACTACTTTTTTCCAAAATCGTCACAGTTTTTGAGAAAAACTGAAATTTCAGCAGAAAATTTACAAAGGTACGCAAAAAAAAACAAAAAACGAAACCCATACATTTTCATAATACCTATTTGTTTCAAACATTAACACTAGCCAAAAGGAGCAGCAAAATATGCTATTAAATTGCCTCTGCTTATATAAGCAAAAGATAAGATTGAATTTAAATGTATCAAAAAAGCCACCAAACGAGAACTTTTATTTGCAAATTAGATTTTAAAAAAAGGTTCTTTATACAAGTACACTACGTTTTGCTTGTGTAAAAAAACTCCAGAAGTCTTTCCGATATGATTAACCTGATATTAAATTTTTAGCAAAGATTTTTATTTTGGAGAAAACTAATACCATGTGGAAGATAAAAACATCGCCAACAGACAGTTGGAAAAGAGTCAAACAACGCAAGAAAAAATTACTGAAACTAAATAAACTTTCGAATTTCAAAGAAAAAGTATATGGTCTTAAACTTCTTTGAATTTCAAGAACAATTTATGCTTGATTTTTTCAAAAAAAAATTAACCCAATTTGAGAAAACTGAACCAATAGGTAAACTTTTTTATTCCGCTGAGAAATCAGAAAACTAGAACCCATTTTCGAAACTAGAAGTCAATCTCGTTTTTCTTGACCTGTACACTTTTGCTGTTCGACAGTGGAGTTTGCTTTCCCTTTATCAAAGGATATGATCTAAACTAAAATAAAATCAAAACTCAGACCCGAGAAAAATCAAATTTGAGAGTGAACAAAATTGAAGACTTTTACTGATGAAAAAAATACAAATACAAAACCATCGCAACCTATAAAAGATTCTGAACTACGTTCACCAACTCTAAAAAAAAAATTATAACACTATATAAACAGCCAAAAGGCGCTACTAGATAGACCATTTGAATGATTCTTGCTTTAAACTCTGAACTAACCGAGACACTGTGCAATACTGGCACTGCTGATCTCGTCAATAGGTTCACATATCCTGGCAATTACAGGGTGCAGCTGCTGACTGTAGTAGTAGTTTCTGTCTATGGCCAGTTTGCCCCCACTCTTCTCTAACTCCTCTGGACTGTAGCCCCTCTGAGTGGCCGACAACTCAGACCCGTCTTTGCACACAACATACGGCACAGTGTCGCCGCCTTGTAGCTTCTTACCACCTGAAGTCGACAAAAGTACTGTTAAACAAACCTACAACTGGCTTAATAATTATTTGCAATTTTGAACAGAAATTTCGCTCTCGTTTTAAAATTTTCTCTCGTTTTGTATCAGCTCGCATTCTTTCAGATCCCACAAAGAGTACCTTTGGCTTCATATTCGCCTTCAAATTTCGTTCCAAAAAAATCGGCATGTTTTGTCGACAAAACCATCGGTGGTTTTCTGCAGAAACAATTTTTTACAGACTGGTCTTATAAAAACCAATTTATGCGGGATATATTCACCACAATGACAGTCCTTTAAATACTTTTTAGTTGACATTTACCTTTACTGTTGAGTCGGGCCGCAACCTGCACGTGCGGCAGACTTCGCTTATCCGGGTAGCACTCCGGCGCCTTATTCAACGTCTTCCGGATAATAAATTTCTCCAAGTCAACCTTCCCGTTCTCTATATTCGATGCCAGATCGGTTAAGTACTGCTGAATATTACACACTATATCCTCGCGTGTCTTATTAGACAGAATCTCGCCAATCACAAACTCTCCTGCTTCGCGCGCCAAAATTGACCAATCACGACGCACGATGTCCAAACCTTTCAGCTCTTTCTCATACTTGTATTCTCCATTGGGTAAACTTGTCACCGCAAGAGCAGCGTACTTCTTTTTCTTCAACAGCAACAGACACTTGTACACGCCGTCAATGTCAATTTCTAAAGTTTTGTAGTATTTGTTCACTTCATTTTTGATTTTCCCGCCAATTTTGAACACTTCGGCCATGTTTTCAATATTCGAATTGACCATAATTGAATCAGTATCTCCGTATATTACATCATGGCCCATGCTTTCAACGAGCTCTTTCGTTTTCATCAAGATTTCTCTGCCTTTAGCAGTAATGAGAGCAGCAAGAGGCTTAGCGTAGAAGCGCGAGTTGGGAAATCCGAGACAGCCGTACATGCTGTTGGCTGTCAGCTTCAGACCCTTTTGTCGAATATCGTATTGCGCCTGAAATCAGAAATCTTGGTTACCTTGATTCTTTGATAGCATCTCAACGAAGTGTCTTTGTTCTTGAAGCATCTTAAAAAATTTAACTCAAAAGTCATCATATAATACAAAACAACAGTGTTCTTTTTAGACTGAAGTAAAAACAAATCTTCCCAACAGTTTTGCAACAGAAAACAAGCCTTGTCCCAGCAGACAGAATAAGAGACGAAAAACAGCAAGTCGAAAAAACTTTCAAGACTTTGAAAAAAATAAACTATAACAGGGATAGCCGCTTAGAACAAGGAAAGCCGGAAAAAAATACAACAAGGATATAACAAGGATAGCCGGTTTTTTTTTTCAAATTAAAGCAGTTTTTTTCCAGGTGAAGTAATAAAAGGATCTGACGTTAAGTTAAAATTTAGGCATATTCGACATTCGTAGTAATATAGGCAACAGGACAACAGATTTTGAAGAAAAATGACTAGAAAAACAAAAAATCATAATTTTTTTTTAATTCAAAATTATTTTCAAATTTTCTTTGCAGAAACTTTTTGATTCCCACAATGGCGTTAAAAGCTTTCAAAAAACTATAATTTTACTCGAGTAATATTTAAATTAAGCATAAGTAAGCTATTGTAAACGGCCTAAATTAAGCATATAAAGCTTTCTCGCTCGCTTTACTGGGGGCGTTAGACAGTGCCGAAGTTAGAGAGTGCCGAAAAAGGCGGGAAATATTGGAACGCAATTTAAGAGGCTAGCTTTTGGCGGGAAAATTAATAATGACACTTGAAACTTGTTCAGACTCAATTTTGGCGCCAAAATCGATGAGCAAACAAAACTTTCTTTTCTTTTCTCAATTAGTTCACGACAAATAAACTTGTTCAGACTCAATTTTGGCGCCAAAATCGATGAGCAAACAAAACTTTCTTTTCTTTTCTCAATAATTTCACGACAAATAAGTCAGTTTCTGCACTCTTTAACAAATTTTCGGCACTCTTTAACAAATTTTTGTTTTCGGCACTCTCTTACTTCGGCACTGTCTTACCCAACCGCTTTACTCGCTCGAATTTAGACGAAAAATCAAAAAACTCAAACCGGTTTTTCTCGACCGTGGGACACTTTCAAAAACGACTGAAAGAGCTTTAATATGATACATCACTAAACGCTCTCCGATGATTATTTAAGGTAGCAGATTCTGCGTGGAAAAAAACTATAACACACCCAAATACAAAGTTACTCCCTATTTTTCAAATGGTTGCAACAACAAGGATAGCCGGTTACCGTGCAAATAGCACAGGATTTTCCGACCATAACTTTAAAAAGAAATTGAGAAAAACATTTCAAGAAAAACAATCACCGCCATTAAATAAGTATTCAAAACCATTTAATAAGAGGTAAATAGGCCGAAAATATTTTAGTAGAAACCAGTTAATCCTAAAACAAAATGCTTTTTAAACTTTGAAATTCAAATTGTTTATTTATGCTGACATTCCTCCTGAAACACACAAAGCGTAACACTTTGTTTTTGCCGTTCAACTGAAGCTATTTGAAGTAAACTTACAAATAAGAGCGACTTTCAATTGAAGCTAAAATTGCATTGATCAAAAGTAAACTGATGCTCTAACAAAAAAAAAAATCCACGTCCGCACATATCAAAGAAAAAAAGGTCTAGAACGGACTCCAAATCCAGACCGACCTTATGTTCCCAAGGCGTCTGCTTTATCTGGATACCAAATGAAGAGGGCCTCAAAAAAGTCTTGTTCCCGATAAAAAGTAACATTTCTCTCAAAAAAAAACTAATTGAACGCTATCTCCCAGCATCAAGGATATCCTTGAGATTTCAAATTGACATATTGCACGTCACAGTCACGAAACTCTAACTTACTATTGTAAAAGCATTACGAGGACTAAAAATGTTCTCACCTTCAGCTCTGCGGTGAGATTTGGTTGTTTCAGCAGCAGCTTCACTTGTTTCCTCTTGTCCACCAACTTCCTGATCTCAGTAGGCAGGATGCCCACCTTCAGCCCCACATCTGGAACATCCGGCAGAACTGGCTCCTCCCCTGCCGCCTCTCCCTTCTGGGACTCGGCTGCATAGCAGTGGGATCTGGACAACACAACGGAAATTACTCAATACTGACAAAAAAGAACACTAATCGCGGAAGCGTATCTGTTCTCATCGCTCTGCTCCGGACATGATCAGCTATTTTTAGAATATTCAACTAAAAAACGCGTTTCTTGTTTATTGCAAACAAATTTACATGATTGTACGAATAAAAAAAATTTCACCAAAGAGATGCGGAAAAAAACCTACAAAAAGCAGAAGCGAACAAATATTTCTCATACTAATTTTTAACTAAAAAATTAAGGGAAAAAAATTGAATGGTACACTTGTCAAGAATTGTTCATGATTGGATTTTTTCTAAATTTACCCAATTTAAGAAAACTGGATCAATAGTTTTTTGTTCGCTGGGAAATCGTAAAAGATAATTTACCAAGAGGTAACAATACCTTGGCAGAAACTTTTTAAGCCGAAAAAAGAAATCAACAAGATTCAAGACTTAATAAAAGTCCCCCTGGCCCTCAAAACACTCTAACAACATTATTTGCTCGTCAATAGACAATATGAGACAAACAAGCCGATATAAAATAGCCCAAAACCTATGTAGCAAAAAAAAATAGAAAAAAGTTAAGACTAATAAAAAGTTATTTAGCCCCCCTCGCCCTCAAAACACAGAAACGCACACACAAACTTTTTTCGCTCGTCAAAGGACGCAATATGAATCCGATAAGCCAATATAATATAGGCGGAAACCTATCAAGCCGAAAAAATTGAACAATAACAAAAAAGGCGATAAATTGTTGTCATGAAAAATTTGAATAAAATTTATATTAAGCTGTTTTGCATTTCAGCAATCCAGAGGTGAGCATTAAAACGTTTCCAGTAAAAAAACTCGAAATTAGGTCACTAAGCTGATAAAATTTAGTCCGAAATCATTTGAGCAGAATAAAGTTTTGGAGAAGATTGGAGAAGAGTAATGAGAGCAAGTAAACATAAAAACACTGACTTTCTTTTAAAAATCTCAACTTTCGATTTTCAAAGAAGAAATAGATGCCCTTTAAGCACTTTGAATTTCGAGAACAATTTATGATTGGAGCTTTTTTGATAACATGAACCCAACTTGAGAAAACTGGATCAATAGGTAAAGTTTTTATTTCGCTGGGAAATCATAAAAATCATTTACACTTTCGAAAATAAAGTAATTCACGTTTTTTCGCGCCATTTCCACGCTCGTATTTGGAGAGTGCCATGTACGTCATTTTCAGCAGACTAATTTCAATTGAACTCAAAAAGGGCATAAAACCAAGTGCATCAATATTTTAAGACTTTTTCCTGAAAAAAAATAAACAAAAAAATCAGCAAGAATTATTTAAGAGTCTTCACTACGAGCATTACTCTTAAACATGTATGATGCACTTCTGTAGCTATTAGAGCATTTTAAGATTTTTTTCTTCAAAAAAAAACAAATAAAAATATTCAAGATTTAAATTATAAGTGAAAATCACTTAGTTCTTTTACGTTTAAAAAAGTGAACATGACTAATTCAATATTCTCTCTAAGAACTAATTTCAGATTAAATTATTTTTCAGTAGAATGATGATCAAACCTGTTGACGGTGGTGTAACATATGTTGTACTCCTGCATGATGGAGGGGTAGAGGGAGTTGAAGTCGAGGAGGAGGATGCATGTATTATAGAAGCCCTTCTTCGGCTCCAACACCAATCCACCCGCGTACGCCGCCTTCCGCTTCCTACTTCCACTACCGTCCGCTGAAAGTCAAACAGACCAGTCAACAGTTGACATTTTGTTGGTAGGTCTGTAAATCGATGATCTGGTTTACTGATGTCGTACTTTACTGACACTTCAGTTTATTGTTCGCACCCCAAAACTGTGCCAATCTGACTCGACTGCAGTTAAAATTTGACTTGAGTAAAAAGTCATTGACACAATTTCTTTTATAACCCAATTTGACTCGTCGCAAGATCAAAAAAACCTCGATTTACAGCCACAGTCATCCCCTTTAGCTTAAACGGCCCAATTTTTGCTAAAATTAGCATATGGAACAACTAGAATCTTCCCAAACTTATATTGCCGTCACACCTAACGTAGTAAAACCACCCGTTACACCATAATTACACTTGAGGCTGGTGGAAAAAAAGAAAAGCTGCTGCCAAAATCAGCCAACCATTATTGCCTCCGGGCGGTGCATTCTCTTCGTCTCCCTGAGTCACCAACTCCTGTTCAATGAAGTGCTGCTGCGCCTGGCCTTTTTTGAAGGACTTGTCCGGAACCACATAGCCCTTTTCATGGAACGCATGCAGTAGCAAGAACTCATTCCTCTCGGCTCGTCCTCCTGTGAATGTTCTAGAAGCTACGTTTCCTGCGATGTTCGTAATTTGGATGGCCAGTGGTATAGATTGGAGCTCGTTGGCTATTCGAATGCAATATGAGGCGTCGTTGAGAGTGAGGGCTATAAGTTGCATAAGAGTGTCGTTCGATGAGTAGAAGTTTGACACTTCGCCCAAATCGATTTGTTGTCTGTCCTCGTGGAGGATTTGCAGAGCTAAAAATCAACATATTTCAAACGAGCAGCGACTTCAGATCATCCATGATACAATTGTTTGACCAAGTAAGGGTTAAATGGTAAGTCGATCCAGAAACCAGTACCAAAGTTTTTGGTTTTGGGTCAAACTAATGGAACATTTAAGACCATGAGGCTAAAAGATATTTCTAAAAGTACATTTTATTGACTTAGGTACCTATCTTAAGTAACTTTTAACCAGGATAGACGCGCACATCAAACTATCGGCCTAACAACATGTGAGTACGCAAAATAAGATTTATAAGATTTTAAGTACCTCGAGTTTAGCTAACTTGATCCAAAAACGTTAACTCTAAAAACATTAATAGCCGCAACATAGACAATTGGCAAAGAGTCAATGAACGCAAAAAAAACAATAAAAAATACTTGACTTGTTTTTTTGTTGAAAAATCTCATCTTTCTAATTTCAAAGAAAACAAAGATGGCCTTAAAGCTTTTTGAAATTTTAGAACACGTTAAGAATAATGCTTTATGCTAAAATTTACACGATTTCAGAAAATTGAATCAATAGGCAAATTCTTCATAATTAACCACGACCTAAAAAAAATCATCACGAACTATATAAAAGTCTGAACTACGTTCATCGACTTTTAAAAAAAAAAAATCGCAAATTAAATTATTCGGGTAAACTAATACATGGAGGCTAGTTTTTAAAATGATCAAGCGAACCACAAGAAAAAGTTATAACTGAGCGAAAATATTTTCAAGCTCTCACCCAGATCAGTGAGGGAGTATCCCCTGCATCTGACCAGTTCCTTGGCAGAAACCGTGACGTCACAGATGAGTCTGCCTGCAGTGAGGGAAGGAATCACATTGCCATTCATGCTCTTCGGAGGGTAAGTCCTCTTCAGACGGCTGATCCTGCTCCAGTGCGGAACCTAAAAGACACGAGAGCCAATGTAATGCTGCGGGTGCTGCAATCAAAAGGTTAGAAATTTCACTGAAAAGGTTTTCACTACTTATTTTTCACCCCCCTCCCGCAAAAAAAATTTAGTTCTTCGTAGACTCCCACAGAGATGTTAAAAAAGTGTTTTAAAAAATCAGGCCTTAAACAGACCCGTGAATTGATCTCTGTAGCGTACAAACATTCAGAATTAGAAGCTTTCTTGAAAGCTCTTCAACAACCTCATTTAAACTTCTTAATAACGGAATAGCCAGCAGCCCAAAAAAAGCTCTTCAAATAACTACAAACCTTGTGAAACATGAGTCTGTTGACGATGAGGTCCAACTGGAAAGATAGCAAGTCGTGTCCAATAATAATGTCAGCGTCGATCAATTTACACTTGCACACGAACCAGTTCAGAAGCGACTTTTCGTTCGGAAGCACTGCTACGTTTTTGATCTTGGAAGAAACGTTCTTCTCAAAATTATACGGGAAGATCGAGTCCTGAACATAACCACAATTCGATATAATAACTGAACATTTGTAGTAACCGGCAACAAAATTGTTTCGCTCATTGTTGATTTTTTTCCGATCTTGAACTGATTATAGGGCTTGCTAAAAGGGTGCACTCAAACGTGCGTATTCAAAGCATTCTTGGCATATTATTAGCTTCTTTCTTTGCTTTGAAGCGATTCGAGATTCTTTGACAATGTGGATAAATATACCAAAAATAAACTGCTTACTTTTGGCTTTGCAATTCCGAAATGATGTTCATGCCAGATCTTGCCTTGTGCTCCCTTTCCTCCTTTCGCGTTCTGGGTAATCGGCTGCACTGTGTTGGTGAGACTCATGCTTTTGTTCACGAGCAGAGCTACTCCCACCACTTCGTTCGTGTTCGTCTGGGAGTTGAATGAGACACAAGTGGATATAGACACTGCAGTTACAGAGGGAGCGGGTGCCGTTTTCTCGAACACCTGAGCATAATACTACATTTCAACACTCGACTAGGTTTTCATTTTTCAAATTCACATTTTGGCAAAGATGCTGATCATCCATGCATAGCATTATTTAAAAAAAATTAATTCACAGGCTGTTATAAAAAAGGATATATAAACAAAATCATAGCCAGCTGACAATTGCAAAAGAGCAATGAACGCAAGAAAACAGAAAAAAAACACTGATTTTGTAGAAAAATATTCAACTTTCTACTTTTAAAGAAAAAAATAGGTTCCCTTTAAACTCTTTGAATTTCTAGAACACTTTATGTTAGGCGCTTTTTTGATAACATTAACCCGAAATGAGAAAACTGGATCAAAAGGTAAAGTTTTTATTCCGCTAATCTAAAAAATAAATTCCACTTTCGACACTAGAAATGTTCACGTTTTTTTGCGCCATTTCCACGTTCGTATTTGGATAGTGCAATTAACGGAACCTTCAGCACATGAATTTCAATTGAACTCAAAAAGTGCATATATACATCAGTGCATTCATAAATGCATTAACATGAATGAATGCACATTTTTGATTATTAGAGCATTTCAAGACTTTCCCGGAAAACAAAAACATAACCAAGACCTTTAGAGACTACACTACATTCATTACTTTTAAGCAATTTATACCAGAATATTAACAATAAAAATCTGAAATTTATACAAACAAGAATACAAAATCTTTAAAATACTGCACTTAGAAAGTTTAGTTAGCTCACATTATACTATTACTTGTTTCTCATTGCATAGCAGCATTATGAATGAGGTGAGGTAACTATTACCTCTCTGTCCCAATTAAAAGATTCGTGGTTCGAGTCCAATCATGGTTTGTAATTGTTCCGACTATTGAAAACGGGGATGAACTTTGGATTTGGGTGTTTTAATTTTCCGCGCAAAATCAGCTACCACAAATAATCATCAGACAGGGTTGAGTGATATATCAGATGAAAGCCCTTTCAGTCGTGATTCGAACGACATTAAAAAAATCAATTTAAATTGTCAGTCGAGAAAAGCCGGTTTGAAACTTTTGATTTTTGGTCCAATTTCGAGCTAATTAGTAAGATAGTTAGTGATTGGAATAGCTTATTTAAGCTTGATTTAAGCCGTAAAAACTTATTTTTACTCAGGTACAGGTAGTTTTTGGAGTTTTCTAGCGCAATTTTGGGAATCAAAAACTTGAAAACTCAAAAAATTTCCCCTAAATTTTAATTTTTTTTTTCGTTTTCCTGGTTATTTTTCTTAGACTCACATTTGTTATGACTCTCAAATATGCCTAAGTCCTTTTTTAGTTCAAACTTTTTTTACATCTTATGCAGAAAAAACCACGACACCAATTTGAGAAAACATTGTTTTTTTTGAAACTAGCCGGATTATTCTGTGCTACTTGCACAGTAACCGGCTATCCTTGTTGTATGCGGACAAAGCAAAGTAATCTTTCCCAGAAAAATAGTGAACCTTTTCATGTAATTTTATGAAAAAAAAACTAACAGGGTCTTTTTCCAAGATAGCCGACATCTTATCGATCATTGGCAAATCGTTATCATTTGAAAATCTTAAATATTTGAAAAACACACCTTGATGCAATTAACGCCCTCGCACGTCATGTTCATGTCGCACCAGCTCACAGGGTTAATATCATTCTTCGCTTTGATCTCCAGCCAACATGGTCCATAGATATTCTTATGCAACAGAAGGTTCTCCAAAGCCGATGTTTTGGCTCCAAAGATCTTGCAAAATGTGTCCCCTTCTAACTGAGTGACTTCTGGAAACTTGCATGAGTAGCGCACCTCCAGGTAATCACTCTCAACTGGGACGTCTGAGATTTCGAAACAGTATTTCTTATTCACAACTCTTGACTTGAATTTTAAAATCTAAAAAAAAAAACAATTCGGCTTAGTTTTCAAAATCTGATAAAAACAAATCATGCACATTTAGCTTTCGAATAATTTTCGTAAGCGACTTCTTGTTCAATGGTATGTCATGGCAGAAAAACTAACCCTCAATTTCTCAGCTAGCTTGTCGAACTCCAGGTACAAATCTTTGGTAGTAACTGCTTGATCTGGATCCGATTTCCTTGTCTCTCTAGGGAGCAAAAACAAAATCCTTTCGAGTCCAGTAACTCGCAAACAACAACTCTTCAACTTCCCTGTCTTCTCACAGAACACTTTGCCAAACAGGAACAGATACTCTGGATTTTTATATGCATCCTCGTAGGCATCAAGCCAGAAAAACTTCATCGTTTTGGCCTGTGAGCTGGAGATTGAATCTTGGGTTGAATCCTCGAAGAGTGAAGCCCAATCGATGCCATCACTCGCTAAATCGTCGTCAGGAATTTCGTCTTCATTTTTGCTTTTCGCTTTGCCGGTATCGACATTGGGGTCGACTAAATTGTCGTCGAAGTCAAATCCTTCCAGCAATGCCGCACTTGTATTTTCTTCCTCGTCCTCAACATGATCTTCAGCAGAATCATCATAGGTTTCAGCAATCGTCGGCACGGACTCTAGCTCATCTTTCATTGTCACAAACTCTTGACTTTCGGGCACCAACACATCCGGCGCAGTCTCGACAGGGGCCTGTTTCGTAGCGAATTTGTTTAAACGACTGTGTGATTTAGTTTGCAAGAATGATTTGGCCGAGCTGGGCAACAATGAAGCCCCGCTTGTGTTCCAGTAGCTGCTCTTGGAAGAAGTGTCCAGTAGTCTCAAAGAATGCACCGATTTCGCCGTTGTCGCATCTTTTTCTCCTGTTGCACCTCCTATCACAATTTATCATACATTCATACAACTTATCAATTAATTTATCATATAATGGTTTTAAATCCAATTATTTTATGATGACTAAATTACTTACCAGAAGTATCAGCTTTAATTTCTTTCAAAATATCGCCCAATATGTCATCGTCATCTATTTTCACTTTGGATTCTTTCGCTTTCACAGCATTGGACGAACCGATTGATCGAAAAACGTCGTCTATACATTTCATTTTCTTGCGAGCTCCACCTTCCCCGTCTTTGGCCCCCTTTTCAACATCGTTTCCTTTCCTCTTCTTTACTTTCCGATCACCAGGTCTTTTAGAATCATCATCAGAGTTGTAATCATAATCTTCGTCAAATACTTCGCGCCCATCATCGTCATAGCCGCTGCCGACAACAAAGTTACTTTCTATCCGTCCTTGAACTCGACTTGAATATTCTTCTTCTGTAACAACCTCGTACAAATTTTCAACTTCTCCAACCTCGAAAGCATGCTTCTTGCCTTCTGCTTTACACTTTTTCAGAAGTTCCAGAGCCGACAACCTACTGCTCTTCTCGTTTCGGTTTCTACGACCTCGTCTTTGAGCCAACGCCTCAACTTCTTCATCTTCCTGCTCTTCAACGTCTTCTGTAGTTTCATCTTTTGCGTCAATTTGCGGTTCAGTCATCCCAATACTCAAAAATTAACACTAAATGAAAATATACAAAAATTAAGTCACTTTATTACATTTATAACAGAAAAAATTGAAAAATGATATCCCGCAGCTGTGCAAGGAACGCAGGTTTCAACATAATAAAAAGAACCTCATTTTTTTAAAAATTTGGAGGCCGCCCTACAATTCCTGTCTAATTCCTTATCTGACTTATTTTGAAAATCGAAAAAAGTTGCAATCATTTTTTTCTTGATCATTTTTTCTTGAAAATTTAATCACGACCAAAACTCAAATCACGACCAAAAAGATTTAAATATACTTAACCCCCGTACAAACTTACCTTGAAGCAGTCAAAATTGGCTTAAAAAGGAAAAAAACTGACCCATAGTTCCTTTCCACTATTCAAGAGGAGTCGAAACAGACAATTAGTAATACAAAGCCCCGACCACACTTATAAAAGAATGCCGATATATGTCCGGGGTTTGATGAGAGGATCTGAACAAAAGCCTAAAACTTAGGCATATTCGATAAAGTCATAGTAAACAAGGATAGCCGGTTACTGTGAAAGTAGCACAGAATGTTCCGACCATAGTCTGTGATAACATAGTCTGTGATAACAGCAGCAGAACAAAAAACTGGAGATTATCTATATTCGAAATTCATAGAAAAACAAGCAAAATGAAAAACAATTTTGTAGAAAAACTCCTTGAAAAACGAAAAAAAAATCAAAAATGTTTTTGAAATTTTGAAAACTTTACTCCAAAAAGGCGTAAAACTAAGTTTTCACATTTTAAATTAAACTTTTGTAAGCTTTTAAGCAATTAAAATAAGAATGCTCGCTCGCTTTATTCGCTCGAAGACGAAAAATCAAAAATTTCAAACCGGTTTTTTTTAATAATGGGAATTTTTTTTTGGTTTTTTTTTGCTCTGGTTCGAGTCAGGAGTGTAAGGGATTTAATATGATATATCACTCAACCCAGTCCGATGAAAATTTGTGGTACGTGATTTTGGGTGGTAAACAAAGAAAAACCACGACAGACCCGAATACAAAGTTCCACCCCATTTTCAATCGTCGAAACAATAAGGCATAGCCGATAAATTTTCTTCCAAAAATGAATAAAAAACTTAAAAAAGAGAACAAAAAATAATTTCAAATTATAGCAACAAAATTTTTGGAACTTTTTTATCACCATAAAGCCGCTTAAAACTTGCAGTACTACTTACAGTACTGGAGAAAAGCTACGTTTTCGGCGCTTAAAAAAGCTTATCCTCAATTTATGAGCCTGCTTGCTCGATTCACTCGCCGAAACTATAATAACTAATTTCAGACCGGTTTTTCCTGACATTGAGAAAACTTAATTGAAATTTTTAATACCGTTCGAACCACAACTGAAATTGCTTTATTTGGTTTAATTGGTCTTAAAAGATCAAATTTCTTAAGTGACAGTGAAATTTTTCCTTTTATGCAAGTATGAGAATATTTGATTTTGTTTGCAAAAAGTAAACAAGACTGCTCGTATCAGGGCGAAGCCCTGAAAGTTCCGACTGCCTTTTAAGGTTTATGGAGCATTAATAAGATGGAAAATTTCAAAGTAAGAAAAAAAATAAAAAAAATTTTTTTGAAAAAATTTGAGATTTTATGTAAAACCATCCCCCCACAGGTCATATTAAGTACAAAGTGATAGATTTTGCGCCTATTAACAAATCAATTATGGCATTTAAGCTTCCTTGAACCAGTTTAGAACGATTTCTAAGACGGATTAAATCTCGCTTACTCGTTAATAGCGCGAAATATATCGCGCGTTAATTGTCCCAAATTGGCCAAATGGCAATCTTTAAACCCCCATAACTTTACGAAAAATGATCACAGGTAAAATATCTTTTCAAATTCAAGCTCAGGACAACAATAGCTTTCGAATGATATAAAAAAATTGCGTCAAAAACGGCTAGTTAAAAAGTCGAAATTTGTCTGAAGAAAAAAAACCCACCCCGAGCACAAATATTCCGTTACTTTCGTATCGAAAGTCGGAACAATAAAGTTCAACCTTCCAAATATGAAAACTCAGTTTCGAATCCAGGAACATAGAAACACGAAGAACAAACTTTAATTTAGGACCAGGTAAAAATTCACATTGCATCTAACAGCAGACATCAATTGCGCGCCACTTAGATGTTTTTCAAATGATACTGTCGATTTATACCATAACATTAGGATTCTCATTTTTGAACTTGCACTAAAAAGCATAATCAGGATTAAGATGATAATTTATTCTAGATCAAATATAAAAAAAACGTTATCAACTCTAAAAGCATCTGAAAACGTTTTTTGTTAATCTAACACCAATAGTATTAGTAGAATCAGCTTCAGAGCGATTAAATTGCTCTACTCTATTAAAGTCATCTATTGGATAAGAATGGATAAAAAATCTAATTCAAAGACTCTAATTCCTAATTTAGTTTTTCAATCATCAACTTTAGCAAAACTTTTGTCAAAAGTGACATAAAACAAAAGTTTCCATGTTACTGTTTTCTATTTGATATATTACCGTTGCTCCTAGTTCCATCTTTGTTTTATTTTGTATAATTTCCACCGTCATAATCCTGAGTGCCACTTTCATTTGCTATTAATCGTCAATCTTTTTTCCGCATTACTGCGTCTTTCGCATTTTCACATTTGCTCAAAAGATGTCCTACTGGTACAACATCCTTCTGATGTTCCTCAATCTTTGGGGACGGATGTTTTACCGTCAGGCCGTAATGGGTGGAGTAACTTCCTAACAGACTATTTTATATACCACTTCCAATTTTAAATCATTCGAGAAAATTGACTAGAAGGACGGCAGAGATGAACTTAACATGAAGTTTTCGACAAATTCATTTAAAAAAAAACGTTCCAAAGTCAGAACATAATCTGACTTTTTTTACGGTGAACGGACGTTGAAATTACATCTGAACTCTTCAAATTGCATTTGAACAATAAGAAAGCTGTGCACATCGTTGGCGCTTTTTCGGAGACGTAGTTTTTGTGAATGCCTTCAAGTCCGCTTCATGAAAAAAAAAATTTCGAGCAAGATCTGTCATGCGCTTTATAGATCAAATTAACATGAAACGATGATAAATATGCAACTTACAAATTTCGAAAAACTACATTGAATTAGCTTTAGTTTGAAGACAAGAATGTTTTACACAGAGGCGAAGCTGAGCTTTACCAAGCGGTAACAAACCTAAAATACTTTAGCAGAAACCCATAAAACCGAAAAAAATTCAAGGAGGCTTTTAAAAAGCTTTAAAGCCCCTCAACATCCAAATACACACACAAAACAAAACAATGTTAGCTCGTGAAATGAAACATTATGAGGCTACTAAGCCGATATAATAGAGGCCGAAACATATCCGGTCGTAAAAATAGGAACAAATAAAAAGCCGGAAAAAAAATGTGACATTCGACCAGAATGGCCAAAATGCAATTTATGCAGGATTCGAATTTTTAGCAGTAAGCCTTCCGAGTTGATGATTTCGAAGGATTAGCGACGTTATTGGAACGTTTAGCCAAACGGTGAGGGCTAGAATATTCTAGTATTTTAAATTTTCAAAATTTCGAATGATGACGACACATTTCTGAGAAATGCTGAAACGGCCATTTTAACAAAAAAAGCGAGTAAAATGCAGAACAACTTTTATCTGCGATTGCGAACAGTACGATAATCGAGATTGGAAAACGACAACGAACTACAGAATAGCAGAGAACGCTCCGAGTTGCAACTATTGAGCTGCTACAATAGTTGCAAGGCCGTTGCCAACAACGGTGAAGGGTGAGAACCAGCCTTCCGGATTAGCAAGAAATCAAGAGTAAGGAGCTTGATTCGGCGGATTCAAGAATCCGGAAGGGTCTCGGGACGGAAACTTTTATTAACTCACATAAACTTTTAGCATCCTGTCATGTCCTGACTTGAATTTAACTGATATTTGGATTCGTTTTGATAAGGACGAGAAGCTAGGAGTTGGGGGAAAGGGTTGATCCATCTTCGATGGAGATGATGATTTTTATCTACTGAACAAAAACAATAGTAATATGATAAGTAGTAGCCCTGTTTTTAGGAGTGACCTCGTGGTCTGGGGATACTGAGACCCAGCCATGAGCTCACTAATTTTGCATGTAATTCAGTTAATTTGAGCGTTCTGGTCGAAGCCGGAGAACAGTAACGTTTTTGTCAGCCTGATGTAAGAAAGACCACCAAAAAGTACTGGCTTGGTAGAGACGGTGAAAAACATGCAAAGCTCTGTTTAGACGCTAGCCAGTCGTCTTAAGACTTAGTTTTGTTATCCGTCGATATGTATCTTCCGGGCGAATGTTACATGTATGTTTTTATGGCGCTCCTGGGTGTTATTCTTTCATAACATCATGACCGGCGGAACCGTTAACGAGCACTCCGCGCCGAGCGGATGCTCACATTAACGCCCTTAATAGGCCTAAACAGCCGGGGCGGAAGGGTAGTTCGGAACGCGGAAGCCTTCCGGATTACCGTGAATAGTTTTTTAACCTAGTTAAGACCGAAAATTCACGAACCAGGAAGGGTGGGGGGAATCATGAACCCCTCATCCCCTGAGTGGTTTGTGACCAAAAACACTTAAAGATATAAGCAAAACCAAACAAAAAGTAGTATAGTACCCAAGAAAAACAAAAAACATAAAAAATAACCGAAAAAACCAAAAACAGTAAAAAAGTAAAAAATCAGTAGAAATCATCCCCCCAGACAAGATGTGATTCAACCCCCCCGTTTGTTGTTGATAGATATATTGTTGTTACAGGCATTTATATCAGTCAGGATCGTTACGATCAAAATTGTAGCCCGTTTGTGAGGCTTGCACTGTAGGGTTATTTGAGCATTTAAGCACGTTAATGATAAATTGCGCTCAATCCGGAAGGGTCAGCTGATTTGCGCTCAATTCGGAAGGGTCTTGGGTGAAGACCGATCCGGCAAGCAGTACAAGGAGCAACAAGAAGGGGCTCAACGGCAACAACAATCGAC